GATGGACGTATAATCAGAATGCTACTGGCAAGTATGAGCACCAAGAAACAGATTATAAACAGCATATTCATACCAACACTGGGCTACCAGGGCCAGACTCGGACATTATTTTAAGGCTATCTTACGTAAAATTAACACCTGTGGAATTAAATGCCAGAGAAAAGACGCGAAGCCATTCAAGACAAAGTTAGAAATGACATTATAATATAGACTGTAGAAACAACACCATGCAGTAAATTCTTTGAGAAATAGAGGATCAAATAGTTTAGTCGTCCAGTAAGAATGCAGCCAGAACAACTACCGACGCAGGCCCTACACATGAAAAGATCTGAAGTGAAAGAAAGAGGCCCTCCTTCAGAAGATGGACTGAGGACATTAAAGAGCTTCTACACTGACATGGAACAGCCATTGCTGCCCATCATGCAATGGATCACAACTGTTTCTTCCCATAATGCCTAATGATAGAAGTGGAAACTGATGATGATGCGGATGATGTTGTATTCTCCTGTTCTTAAAATGCAATAATTTCATAATGATTAATAATAATAATAAAAATGATAATAAATTAAATAATAATGCATCAGGCATATGGGAAGAGCACCCATATTTTACAGACCAATCGGCAATAGGTGGGTAATGTGGTCAGCATTTCGCCGGACATCTTTACTTCCCCAGGACATAAAGCCTGGTAACCGTTTTAGGCTGGGTCGACCTGTGACGACCCATACCATGAAAAAAATCCACACAGCCAGCAGTGGGTTTTGATCAGGGCACGTTGGAATTACAAGTCCGACTCTTAACACCTAAGCCACGCAACCCTAAACAGAGGCAGACCTAAATTAAGATGGACTGAAGGAGTCGCTGACAGCCTAAGACATCACAACATACTAAGCAACTGAGTGCACTCTGTCTTGGCTATCTATCATCTTTTCAACTATGACACCTAGCAGCAAGAAGCAGACAGTGAAAACAAAGAAAGAATTCACACCTCTGGGAGCATCAGTCACTGGAGTTATGCATTTAACTGTTTATTAATGCAATAAGCACAAGCACGCACCTACGCACACTCACAAACACAACATGAAATGACTTACTGGTTCTGTCTGGGTTGCAATGAAATGTCCAGTTACAGGGGCACTTAACACACTAACCATATGCATCTCATCATCTGACAGAGTTATCTCCTCTTTGTATACTCCATGATCTGACAGTGCGGAGAAGGAGAAAGCATTAAAAAATTCAGTAGATATTTTTAAAAAGCAAATATTTATTAAAGTAGTACATCCGAATAAATAGTTGACAAAGAAATATTCCAAAGTGCTGCAACCTAAAGGTTTGTCATTCCTCAAACTCAAAGAATGATATCATGAATGCCAATCCGACAGTGCAAATCCCATTCAACCTCATAGAAGTTATAACTAGGGCATCCAATGGCTACATTGAGTACTGCCCCTTAGCTGAGTTGAGTTACGAAACAACATAACAGCACTGTGGATATTCCCATGTGCTCTGTCCTCACCATCAGCAGCCAGCAGAGGTTCCAATGCTGATAGAACAAATAGAACTTTGATTACATGTCCATCTTGCTCTATCCCTGAGTGCAGAATGTTGGCCAGACTTCCCGGTCACTTGCTACAGCATCATTCTCTTCACATAATAATAATTTATTAGTGCTTCTGTATGGTTCAATTGTTCCCAATGGGCCTTGATAAAATCTAGTTTGTCATGCATGAATTCTTAACCAAGTGGTAGAGGGCCAGCCAATCTGTCTGCCTGGTGATTTCCCAGTACATGCTTCAATGTTCTCAGATGGTTAAGCTTCTTTTAATATTTTCTGAGAAGCATGCAGACACAAATATTACCCTGGTATGCCCTGCTGTCTTAAATGGGCAAGGATTAACTATGGCTTCTTCTTCACTTCCTCTTTTCCACGTGTGGGTTCCGGAACTCTATTGTTGGGAAAACAAGAATACTTCCCTACTAGCATATCGTAAGAGTTGCCTAACTGAGGATTTCCTTCAAAGTAGGTGTGCATCTGCTGAGAAACAAGAAACCAACAGTCTGCATACAAATAAGTCAGATCTGTAAAATGGATGTGCATTCAACACTCAGGTTCCAGAACAAGGCTAAAATCCACAGCTGGATGAACAACCAGAAGTTTCCGCCTGAGTTTACCGATTCTGGTAAAAAGGTTCTGTTTGCCTTAACCATAGACACATTGTGCAGATGTAGAGTTTCTCTGATGTTATCTTTCCATCATGTTCTTGGTCTACCTTGTGCTCTACATCTTTCTCATCTTTTGGTGTATGCCTTGTATGGTATGGCATCGCAAGGCATTCTCTCTAAGTGGGCAAACCATTTGATTTGCTTTTTATGTAATTCAGAAGTGGTTCATTGCTAACATTTCTCGTATTACATAATTTCTGATTTTGTAATTATTAGCAATATGATTATCATTATGATAAAATACACTACAAAAATGAGTACTTGCATACTGACACACATAAACAAACAATTCAAATCTCCAATTAAAAAAAAGAAATAAATTCAACAGTTAGCTAATAGTCTTAAGCATACTTGCTTACCTTCAAAATCATCCAAGTGCATCTGCCTCCGGTAGTTGATTCTGAAGATGAAAGACTCGAGCACAAATGCCACAATGATGTTTATAACAACCTGGAGACAATAGCAATTACAAGTTATAGATCATTAAGGCAAAACTTTGATGTAATATATAGGTTGGGTTAGATGTTGGAAAATTAAACTCAACTTAAAATGCTAAATTTCTTGATACTGTATTTCAGTTTAATCCTTACAGTGAAAAGTTTTGCTAGAAAAAAAAAAAAAAAACTATTTTCAATATATTTACTACAATTACTTTATAATGAATTCAAATTTACATGAAATAACATTACTCTGATAAAAGACAATGTGTAAGCATCTGCGTATATGCAGGCATGCATTTGTATTTTTCCTATCAGGTGTCTGTCATAAATTTGCGCCTGTATTCTGCAAGTACCTCTTTGTCAACATGTTACCATATGTGTATGTAAACTGTATATGTGTGTTTCATTGACTGCATATCTGTATCTATGTTTCTGTATGTGTGTGTCTATATGCACTTCTGTCTAATGTGTGTCTGATAATTTGTATAATAACCTTTGTCGTTGCATGTATGTCTGTATACACATGTATACTGTAGTATTTCTGCACCTGTGTGTGCATGTCTCAGAACTCATGTAGTATATGCTGTACCTATGCTCAGATTTTCAATAACTGATCTACTGCAACATGAGAGAAAATGGAACCCAACAAAATGCAACATCAAAGTTAAGGGACAATCCTCAAGAAAGTTGATACTTGGGTACCCTGATAACAGCAGAGGAAGATGCATTGAATAATTAAATGTAAAATAGCTCAAGCAAAGGCAGTATTTCACAAAATGAATACTCTATGTAATCTTTCTTTGTCAACTAGGTGAAAAAAGAGAATTCTCAAGAACATTTAGTCCTTTCAGTAATTAATTATGGCCTAGGAATATTAACCCTATCTACTTCACAGTGTGCAGTGTCAGTAGCTCAGGCGTTGCGAGTTCGACTCGTAATTCCAACGTACCGCAATCGAAACCCACTGCTGGCTGCATGGATTTTTGTCATGGTATGGGGTGTCACAGGTCGACCCAGGCTAAAATGGGTACCAGGATGTACGTCCTGGTGAAGTAAAGATGGCTAGCGTAATACTTATCACATTACTCACCTAGTGCCGATTGGTCTGTAAAAATATGGGTGCTCTTCCCATATGCCTGATGCGCATAAAGGCGCGAAAAGGAATTCTTTACTTTTCTTTACTTACTTCACAGTGTACAAAGCTTGAACACATTCAAGATGAAGGAATGAGAGTTATCTTGGGTTGCACACAAGATACACCAATTAGAACAATGACATATATGTTTGGGCTCACATCTGTAAATCTAGACTGTCACTGGTGCAAGCCAAGGCCTCTATGCGAGTTACCAATGATGAAAGGCATCTGCTACATGGCAATCTGAATGATTTAAGAGGAGACTGGTTGAAAAGAGGAAAGTCATAGATGGCACTAGCTGAAGATACCATCGAGATGGCAGCCTCTGTCGAGCGAATACACTAGGGGCAGGAATGGGTCGACATGAACACCCACAACAGAAGTTTCCATCAGGTCATTATCACGTTAGGAAGAGAATTAAAGAGTGGTTAACGGTATGGCAGAATTAGAGCTACAACAACTGATAGATGAAAAGGCTGAGCTAGATGATGCAATAGTGTACATCGATGGTTCTGTTTATCAGGGTATAAGATCTAGCTGGGAATTTTCATTTAGAATGAAGGGAAAGACTGTGGCAGAACAAAATGGAGTTTAAAAAAAAATCTAAAACCTTAAGCATGAGGATGGAGGTTGAGGCAATCACTGCAGCTCTGATTTTGATAGCAAAAAACAGTTAGCAGAGGAATTATTGTGTCTGATTCTCAGTCGGTACTGTGGAAGGTTCAAAATGGACTAATGTGGCATGAGAGGATACCAAGCATTAGTACATCAACATTGCAGGGAATCACATGGATATATTGTCCGGGATATGCAGGGGTACGAGGAAAAAAAGATTTTCTGGCTACAAAAGCGACAGCTACAGCAACACTCGTACTGTACAAGGGAGATATTCTGAAGATCATATATGAATAAATGTTGACAAAAGAACAAGATTAGATGAAATAACATGTGTAAGAATGTGTGAGTGAGGAATGAGAAATGGATCCGGCAAGGAGGGATAAATGAGAGGAAGTGAAAGATATGTGTGTAATCAACGTGCTATGGGAAAAATTAGCATCTGCCTGGGGTGCTATGTCAATTCTCAAATTGTAGAATCAGTGAAAACATAGAGAAGAAGCACAAGACAGCTCTGCTGACCTAATTTGTGACCCTTTGAAAATAAAGTGTTCATTATTTCTTTCTAACAAACAAATACATACCATCATAACAATGTAAAAACTCATAAAGTACACTCTTGACCACTGGCTCACAGCATTGGCAAAACCTTCCTGTAAGAAATAAGGGACGATTTATAATGTTAACATACTCGCTGTAAAGATAGAGTCACTGGTTCACATGATATATCCTTGGCATTAGGAGAGTGACACTGGTTCACATTATATATCCTTGGCGTAAGGACAGGGACAATGGTTCACATTATATATCCTTAGCGTAAGGACAGGGACATTGGTTCACATTACATATCCTTGGCATAAGGACAGGGACACTGGTTCACATTACATATCCTTGGTGTAAGGACAGGGACACTGGTTCACATTACATATCTTTGGCATAAGGACAGGGACACTGGTTCACATTAAATATCCTTGGCATAAGGACAGGGACATTGGTTCACATTACATATCCTTGGTATAAGGACAGGAACAGTGATTCAAATATTCAACGCTTCCTGTAAAGACAGGGACACTGGTTCATATGATATATTCTTGGTGTAAGAACAGAGACACTGTTTCAAATGTTCAAACTTACACATCAGGACAGAGACTATAGTGTAAACTGTAAACTTTCCTATAAAGGCAGAGATAATTTATAAATATTAAATCCTTCCTATAAGGACAAAAAATCTTCCTGTCTGAATATGGAAACCATTTCAGATGTCAAAACTCACATATCAGGACAGGACATGGTTTAAAATTACCTAAGAGAAAAAAGATCTGTTTGAGACAAATAAATAGTTAAACATTCAGTCTGAATTGTTTGCTTCAGCAAAATAATAACATGACATTTTTTTTCCTGTAATGAATTTCAATAATGCGGGCAGAAACAATTCATTGCACAATTTACTGCCAGGCATATTTCACTGCATCTCGTCAGGTGCATTTCTACAAAGTTACATTCAACATATAATGAAGCAACAATTTGAACAAATTCAACTGAAATTGTAAATAGTTGCCTCAATGCATCATGTTTTAATTTAGTTGCCGTAAGTTCATGGTCACGTGACTTACCAGAGTAATTTCAAATTCACTATACATTCCTTCTGCTTACAAAGGAGGTGGCTGTTTATTTTAATCCTTAAAGCTTCGGCCAGAATCAGCATTTGCCTGTTCAGTGTGTGGTAAATAATATTATTTTTAAAGACTTGATGGAGCTGTGTTACTGCAGCGGTCAGTTCATTCCGCTTTCTATGATGCTAATAGTTGGCCTCTCCTTTTCACTGCAAGCTATCAATAGACATATTTGCACCATCATCCAATGGTGGTCTTGGGAACAGATGACTGTATCAAGTCAGTCAGGCCGAGAAAGTATGAATTAAAAAAAAAAAAAAAGTATTTTAAAATAAAGTAACAAAAAGGGTAAGAATAAAAAAAATGTAGGAATCAAAGAGGGTAAGAATCACAGATGGAAGAAAAAAAAAGAATGCTATTCTGTATGTAGCTGTATAAATCGGCTGAAACATGGACATGGCACATCTTTATTGCAGATGGCCAGGATGTAACAGATATCTTGTATTTTCGTCTTCTTTACTTTTTTCTTTTACTACCTTGGGTGTCAAGGGACATACAAATTATAGTTCTTGCCTTTCTGGCCACCTCAATCATTCATTTGACTATTCTTGAAAACTGCTAACAACTAAAAAAATATGATCTCCACAATCAACAAGTCTCTCTCAGGTCAGCATTGTTCAAACAACTAACAATACAAAGACAGAAAACAAGAAAAATGATTCACAGAACAAAACTCATAACTGGCACATCTAACAGCTGCCTTCTGCACTTATTCTGCATTTTAAAGATTCTGCTGAACCTAGTTTTCAGGTGTGACACTGGCAAAAGTCAAACTTCACGAGTCGCTAAGTGAATTACAAAAGACAGTAAAGTTCATACAACAGACAAAACTGCAGATATAGATAATCTATTCAAAGTGAACAAAAGAAGAAGAAGATGCAACAGTGAAGGATATTTTGTGTGATTTCCACTGGCACAGGGAGGCAGCAGTTATGGGGCGACTCTGTTTGCAGTAAAGCTGGGAGCCTCGACTAATGATCAAGATCATAACTAAACAAAACGACACTAAATCAAATAAACCTGATCTTAAAATAGTACTCACCATAATAATAAACCAATTATTGACAACTGTCAACTCAAAAAGTGTCACTGCAGAAACAAAACAATATTAAATACTGGACATAACACGAGACTGAAATAGCATTTAGCAGATTATATATTTTAAACCCAAACACTAATGAACAATTCTGAAGACTCTCACCTGGATAAAGTTGCTGTACAGCAATTCTCCTCCTCCTCATGTGCCAAGCCTGTAAGTCTAGGCAGCCATGTTTCACCCTCTCACATATTCACCAAAATCACAGATAAGGTCAATGTTCTTATATCGCCCCACCCATGCGTCCAAGCCATCCAGGTATTTTGTCTCCTTGCTTTTCTCTTGCTCTCTTTCCATCAGTTTTGTCAGTTGTAATCAGCTTTTCAAGTTCATTCCTTTTTATAACATGCCCCACCTCTCAGAAGGTGTGGGTTTATCTCATAAGTGCAATTTTTAATGGAATCGGAGCTACGGAGATCATGCTTTGTACAACGCTCTCGGCAGGTGGCTAGCCATTCTGGGTATGGAAACAGAGCCATATGGGATAAAACCTGATGCTATGAAGTTGATCATTTTGATTTAACCTTTACCCTTTTATCTCTTTTTTTCTCACTGCAGAGGACTATCTTTTGCATCCTGCTAAAGGCCACTTTTGCCCTGGCATTCTGCATCAAATGTTAGGAATGTTACAAGATAGTGTAATCATCTTTTCCACTGAGAGGCTTCTCTGAGGCAAATGACAAAATGGTTAGCCTGGATAACTGGCACTCTCAAAGAGATAAGGTGGCAAAGATATTAGCGTGCTTGCTAGATGAGACAGTTGTCCAGGGTCAAATACCAGAATTGGCAAGGTAGAGACTGTGTCTTCCTTGACAGAATACAAGTATATCATCTGCATATGACACTGCTCTGCCCAGGCCTACTTTTTTGTGCCCTGATGACTTCTGCTGTGTTCACACCGAAAACCTGTGATAAATCTAGGAAAGATATATCACATACTTTCTAACTGTAAGAACAGGAGTTAGAAGACAGAACTAATTGTAATCCCCCCCCCCCCACCCCCCCACCCCCCACCCCCTAAAAAAAAACTGAACTTTGAACATCGGTTCAACATGATGTCAAACGGATAGTAACTCATAAGTGCTCTGTTCTTCTTCAAACTCAAGTCTGTGTCACAAGAAGCTCAGCATAGTGCACAGGCTCTGTAGCACCGGCGAGGATCCTGAAATACTTTGGGTAGATTTTTTACCCCACCCCCCCCAAAAAAAAAAGGCTTTATTTTACTACTTTACTACTTTTATCAAGAATGCAATAAATCCATATCAATGAAAGTTAGGAAGGAATTTTTGCACGTTATATAGAGCCAGTTTTAACAATGATCAGGCCTAATGCACTCACACTTTTTGCTGGAGTGGGTGCAACATAAACAGTTGCTAATCAACACAAGCAAAGCAAAAATTTATGTTAATAACAAGACAAAAACTAAACACTTAAAATTCACAGAGGACCCTTCAATTCAGACTAAAATGTATTTTCTTGTTTTAAAGACTTAAAATTCCAAACTTTACCAGAATGACTCCACCTTACTCACCTCCAGAAATGAAGATATTGTCAAAACTGTTTAGGTAGTAGTAGCCAGATTTTGTACTGTTGTCATACTTATAAAATGATTCCACGCTGGAATTTCTGAATCACAAAACAAAATGCAACAATCATTAAAGAATTAACTCTGAAAAATCAATCTTTTAGAGTATTTAATAATATATTGGCAAGACAAGAGCACAAACTCATTCATGATTCGAGTGATTGTGTGGGATGGCCAACCATAACTGCCATTGCTTTTTGGCGATGATGATGATTTACATTTCTTCTTCTTCTGTCTTCTAACCCCCAATGGAGCATAGGCCCTCAACATAACTCATGCCAAGCCATTCTATCCTTCGCCAGCGCATGCAGTTTTCCCTATCTTCTAACTTCACTCTCTAGCTCCCTTCCCCATGTGCTTTTTTGGTCTTCCTTTATTTTCCATACCCCTGTGGGTTTCAGTGTAAAGACATTCTAGTAATATTTTTATCAAGTTTTCTTAACAGGTGTCCTATCCAATGCCAGCGTCTTTTCTTCACCTCTTGGTCCACTGGAACTAGTTTTCTTTCCAAAAGCTCTACATTCATAATTCTATCATATCCTTTAATTTTCTCTATTCTTCTCAGGCAGTTGTTCATTAGTAACTGCTTTAGTTCTCCATGTTTCTGCTCCACACAATAGTACTGATTTAACATCAAAATCAACCATTTTTAATTTAGTCTAAGTTTAATTTCTTTTGACCTCCACAAATTTCCTAGTGCTACGAAAGCTCCTCTTGATTTTTCTAACTGTATTTTATTATCTCTATCAGTTCCTCCATCTTTATCTACATCATTGCCCAAAAAGGCGTTTGACTTCATGCCTTGGAGTGGGATACAATTAAGAGAAACCACATTAATTTTTGCCTAATTTTTTCTCATTTTCTTTGTCTTTCCTTTATGGATTTTCAGACCTAGGTGCTGTGATCTTGCTCCAAGTATATTTAATTTATCTTGCATCTGATTCCATGAGTGGAACAGACAAGAAAAATATAATCAGTGAAGTCCAGATCATCGAGCTGTTTTGTAGGGGTCCATTGAATTCCATTTCTCATGTTAGCAGTTGCTGTTTTCATAATCCAGTCTTTTTCATAATCCAGTCTTTTGCCAGTAAAAATAAGAGAGACGATAAAAGACATCCCTCTCGCACACCTGTTTTTTTACTGTCAATGTTTCCATTAACTTTCACTCATGAAGAACTCGACATTTCCTGTCTTTATATGTTGCTTTACTAAGTTAATACTTTTCTGTGGAATTCCATAGTGCCCCATTAACTTTCAGAGAGATTCCCTACCAATGCTGTCAAAAGCTTTTTCATAGTCAATGAATCCAATGTAAAGTGATGAATTCAATAGGATACTTTGCTCTATTATCATTATTCGTAAGGTGACTGCCTGGTTAGTACAGGATCTGTTTGGCCTGTTCATCTCCTAGCCTTTCATCAATAGCATCATTTAGTCTTTCCAAAATAATTATACTTAAAATTTTTCCAGGAATTGAGAACAACATAGTTTCTCTATAGTTTTCACACTCCTGTTTCACAATATATCCTTCTATCAAGTCTTCTGGTATTTCTTTGTCTCCCAGACTTTACTAAAAAATTCATGTAGTTATTCCATTGATGTGTTTACATTGGCCTTAATAAATTCCTCCTAAATTGATTGATCCTTATTTGTTTGTGTATAACACTGTATTGCCAAAATGTGTACCTTCTGTTTCGCTGTTCTAAATGATGCTCTTATTATTATCTAGGACTTATAGCTTCCTTTTTATTAGTGCCCTCTCTGCTTCTTTCGATAGCATCAGGTCAGTCCTTCACTGTGAGGAGAACTTTCCTTTGCAAGTCCTGAGAACAAAATTGTCTTCCCTGAATTTAGAATACTTTTCCCTACCCTGGTCCATTTATTTTTACACAATCCTTAAATACTAACCCAACAAAGTTTCATTTCCCTTAATACTTCCGTTGTTTTTCCTACTCTGTATTAAGTTTTAACATTCCAGGTGGCAATTCTGGAGATTTTTCTAGGTGAGAGGAGGTATATCGATGATCTGGACTCCTTTAGATTTTCTCCATGGGTCATACTTCTTCTACTAGAACAGCCTCCCCTTATCTTGGTTGGCTGGGTTAGGTCCAGACAAGTGAAACACTTTGGCTTTAGTAATCATAAGAGTGACTTAGTAAAAACTGTATTGTAAAGCACAGACCCTGGATAAAAAGACAAGGGTTGACACGTACAAAGACAGACACAGGACACCGGAGATACCTTGAGCTAAGAAATTCAGGAGGCAGAAAAATTTGCAAAAGGTGGAGATTTCATCTGTGGCAGCCATGTTTCATGAACTGTGAATTAAAAATTAACATCACAGCACTGGGGACATTCAGATAAGCACTTTGAGTGTTGAGTGTCAGCGAGATCCCTGGTCGCTCCTCGCAGCACCACTCTCCTCAGACTTTGATGATCTATGTGTGCTTCTGCATTGTTTACTCCTTCCCAAAGGTCCCTTACAACATCAAGTTTGTCATGCATCAGTTCATCATCAAGTGGAGCAGAACCAGCTAGTAAATCTGTCTTCTGTTTCACAAAACACCACCAGCATGGATGGATGCAAAGGACCAGCTAAATGATTATTCAAATTAGTTCAATCAAAAAAGCAATGACTTACTGGCAGCAATTCTTTAAATCAATATCCAGGAATACTTCCATGCCAATAATTGCATAAAAATAGTAGACCACCACAATACATATGGCAAGGCTGTGAAAGAGTTAAAAGTTTATATATATATATGTGTGTGTGTGTGTGTGTATATATACAAATATATATTTATATAAACATATGTGTATGTATGTATGCATGCATGTGTGTGTGTGTGTGTGTATGCATGCATGTATTATCTATGTATGTATTTTGCTTTCACCAAGTCAGAGTCACCTGAGTGAAATTTTTGTGACTGTCACCTTAGTGCATTCTTTCAAGGCTATTATTTGTCTCTTTACAATATACCAAACGCACACTTATGAATTCCTGCTCCGAAGAGAAGTAAAAAAAAAAAAAAAAAGTAAAGATCCCTTTTCACGCCATTAGGCATATTGAGTATATGGGAAGAGCGCCCATATTTTTACAGACCATGGGCACTAGGTAGGTAATGTGGTCAGCATTACCACGGCCATCTTTACTTCCCCAGAACAGCCATCCTGGTACCCATTTTTTAGGCTGAGACGACCTGCGACTTCCCATACCATGATAAAAATCCACGCAGCCAGCGGTGGGTTTTAATTGGTTTCATCTTATTTATCATAGAGAGCTTAGGGAAAAAAAAGGGGGGGGGGGGGTGGTGATTATTGGGGCTGAGCAGAGGTTCTGGAAAATATTCATCACTGAGGAAGGAACATAAACTTTTAATCGGTTTGCAACTGGCATTATTAGCATGTCAACGCTTCGTCCTTACTGTGTAAGGAGAGGAAGCATGTGTGGGAGTGTCCTGAGAGCTAAAATGTTAATTCTTGATTCACTCATTCATACACAGCCATCAAAATTGCAAGTTATCACTAAGTTTTCAAGTCTTCTCAACATGCCCCCAAAAATCCTAACAATCTGATTATTTTTCACATATTTGTGCTTGTAATAGTATGGCTATCTGCATGTACCATATGCTGATGAAGGCTTTCTAGCCACAACATCCATTTGTTGTTTGTGATTATGGTATTCTAAAGCAGACTACTTCTACTTCTCATCTGGACTGATATTTTTTCACCACACCCCCATTATTTTTATGACCATCCATGGTATTCTCTGCATTTTCCTTACATAAAAAAATTTATGTTGCCAAGAACAAGGTAATTTCAATTGCAAAAAAAAAAAAAAAAAAAGAGAAAGAATGCCAATCGCTGCTTGTATTTACCACTTATGCAGTGTAGGCCGAAGGTTCTTTGAGCCTGAGGTTTGAGGGCTGCATGGCTAGTGCTATTGCCATGGACTGTTCAGGACAGGACTTTTTTTGCGTGTGCTCCTGACAGAAAAACCAAACCTTAACCAGGATCTGAACCCGGGTCTCCCGCATGAGCCCTGTGTTCGTAACTGTTCCGACAACTACTCCTCAGTAATGTAATTTTTTGAATAAAATGTGCATGTCAGCATCACCTTCATCATCATCATGTGCCTTGCCAGATGGCGTAAGTGTTTGGGTCTCTAGACAGATCTTGGTCCTCAAGGTTCAGGATCCATTCTACGGATGGTGTTTCTCCATGCCACTGCCTTAGACTACCCAGAATAATTTCAATGCCGAGGTCTTTCTAGTGGTCCAGTTGTTTTCCAGTCTTCTCTCAACTGTCTCTTTCTGAACAATGCATATCATGTTTTTTCTGATCTACTTGACTTCCAGCCCCTCATTTTGAGGGGCTAGATGACTAGACCCACCACTCCTTACCAAGCATGTTGTAAAAGGCAGCTAATACTGAGTTTGCCGAAATCGGATCTGTTGGGCCGCAAGGTGCAGAGATCACAACCTAGCTGTAAACCACAAACACAACATGCCAACCATCCTTTTAAGGGTGAGCATAGAAGTAGTAGTTATAAATGTTGTAATAAAACACACTGACATTCTAACTGAAATGATAAATTATTTTTTTTAAACTGATTTGTTCAAGCAAGTTTAGAAATCTTACCTGATCAACTTTGAGAAGAGCACAAATAGGGTGCCTAAAACATCCCTGTACCTTTTCTTGATTTTAAATAATCTGGAACAGTAGAAATTTTCAACAGACAATTACATTGGGGATCTTAGCATAGGGCTTACAGGGAGTGGGGGCTTACAGGGAGTGGGGGCTTATAGGGAGTGGTGGCTTACAGGGAGTGGGGGCAAATATGCATGCACCGACACAAATATGCTAGATTCACTACTGTGGATGGCACACCAACAGAAACAAACCATGAGTGCAGCTAACATCTGTATCTCATACAGTATCGATCACCGCATTATGTGCTTCTATAACTCATTACCAACTGCTGCATGGTGTATTTGGCAAAACATTTTACATCTGGCCCCTGAAAACCAGAAGACTAGTAACCTTAAACTGCCCTTCTGGTTCTTTTGTTTTTCATTATTATTTGACTTATTGATTCTGTCTTGAAAATGATAGTTTTTTTCCCCTCCAGAGGTAGTGATATGAATCAATGCTGGTGAGATCACAAGATGTGTAGTAGCAGGATCACCCATACCAGTAGGCAGGGCACGTGATGATGATGACAGGTGATTCAGACTGATACAAGCTGTTGGAGATCACAAGATGTTTAGCAGCATGACCACTTATGGCAGTAGGCAAGGCACTTGATGATGATGATGATGTCCGGTGAGTCAGACTGATACAAGTTGTTGGAGATCACAAGATGGGTAATAGCATGACCACCCATGCAAGTAGGCAGGGCACTTGATGATGATGATGATGTCCGGTGAGTCAGACTGATACAAGTTGTTGGAGATCACATGACGGGCTGGAGCAGCATGACCGCATTGGCCAGTAGGCAGGATCTGGACCATGATGCTGGTATAAACTCCCTGATGTTAATCCTAATTTTTCAAAAACTTGTTTATAAAATTTTTTTTTTCCACAAACGAAACAAAAAAAGAGTGTCTCTATGATACACCAGTTTACTGGCGACTAGTCCGACAAGAATAAATTCATACGCCAGTTTATTGACTTAAAGTCCTCAAAGAGTTCAATGTTGAGAGCAATGAATAAATGACAACTGTTTGACTGGTATAAGTGTATCCATGCAAAACGCAAACCTAGGAGCCAACAATTGGATTCTACTGCATGGAAGCAACTCGCTAAAGTCTGTTGTTTCTATTTGTCCAGGCTGTTGAACCTGTTTAAATTCACACATTCTCAATGTCAGCTCCCCAGATGATTAGACCAGTATTTCTCATTTGGGGTTCCATAAAAGGAAATTGACGGATCCTTGACATCATTAAAAAAAAAAAAAAAAATCCCTGAACTTTAGAATGTGATAATGTTTGCGATTCTAATATTTATAAATTACAAAAACCGGTATAGTATGATTATTAACACCAGTCGAGATGTTTTATTATGTTTGTACGTCTAAAATTTAGTCAGGCCAACTCAATCATTCTGACAACACAAGTCACCCACCATGTACTGTCTATATTGACCTCTATGGATGCAGTATATCTAGGCCTTTGTCCTCATCATTTTTGCTTCACGCAGGCAACAGCTTTGATCTTTTGGGACTAAAAGAGTTTTAAAAGTACAGTGTCCATGGCAGACCTTCACAAATGAAAAAGGTCCAGAGGTGTCAGCTACTTAAAGAGTCAAGTAAAGGAACCTTTTTTTTCATGCCTTCAGGAGTATTGGGCATATAGGGCTAGACCTATATTTTATAGACCAATGGGCACTTGGTGGGTGACGTGATCAACATCACGCCGGTCGCCTTTACTTCCCAGGACTGCAACTGGTACCCACTCAAGGCTGGGTCGACCTGAGAGCCAGGGTCATTTCTGAAGAAAGCTCAGTTCCATCTGGACCCGAACCCACAACCTTTGGATCCGTAAGGGAGTGTCTAGCCGCTACACCACTGCGACTCCCTGTAAGCTGCTTAGGAAGTACTCATTGAGACAGTCATGTCTCACCATGGACCTCATTTTATGGTATTCTGGATCAATTCTATTTATGATATTCTTCTAAGAGAGCATCATCTCCTTTTTTTTATCTTGTAAGTGATGGATACATGACATATCCGAGGCCATAAATACCAGCATTCACAAAGCACATACCAAGGCTGGCACCAAACAGGAATAAAGAAGATGAAGAAGAAGCAGCAGAAGAAGAAGAAGAAGAAGAAGAAGAAGAAGAAGAAGAAGAAGAAGAAGAAGAAGGAGGAGGAGGAGGAGGAGGAGAGGAAAAGGAGGAGAGGAAGAAGAAGAAGAAGAAGAAGAAGAAGAAGAAGAAGAAGAAGAATGTAGACGTTATACTGTTCAAGTGTGTTCTATATCTTATGATAGGTTTTACAGTAAAGATAAGTAATTTTATGCATTTTTATTTCTAATTGTATCAATGTCAGTTTGTATTTAAATGCTGTTGAAGGCTTTCTAACCGTAACATTTATTTTGTGGTATTAGGAAGCTGACTAGTTGTTCTTCTCAGCTGGATGAACATTTTTTCATGCTACAAATTTTCAAACTCATTGTTACTAAACATTTATTCAAAGTGAGAAAATAATAACAAACACTTGAAATAACGGGGTCACATTCAAATGTTACCTGAGAAGGCGAAAAGGTCGCAACACCATAACATAATAAAAGGAATTCTCAAATATTTCACCAAAGACACCAATCAAACTGACAAGGGTGACCAGGAAGTCAAATCTGCAAAGAAGATCATTAAGGAATGTGGTGAGGTGAATGGTTCAACATAATGTAATAAAACGAGCATGAGTATGCACCAAAAAAGCAGTCAATGAACTGGAAGAAAAAAGAAAAAAAAACAATATAAGGCGTCCCATAAGTTTCTATAAAGTAAAGGACCCTTTTCCAGGCCTTTTAGGCGTATTGGGTATATAGGGCTAGACCTATATTTTATAGACCAATGGCACAAGATGGTTGATGTGGTCAGCATCACACCAGCCATCTTTACTTCCCAGGACTGCACCCGGTACCCACTCAAGGGTCCACCTAGGACCCAAAGTCAATTTTGAAAAAGTCCGGCTCCACCAGGGAGCAAACCCACAACCTTCCGATCCCCAGGCGAGCGTCTAGCCGCTAGGCCATCGCGACATAAGTTTCTATGCATAAGACAAATAAACACATCAAAAATACCATGATAAGGATAACTCTAGGTGTGCTTTTTTTTGTACATGTTCTTCAGCAGCAAGATAACAGTTTTTATTTTTTTTTCTAAATGTTATTTTTCCTATATAGGGAAACTTATAATAACAAAAGCAGCAAACCATGTAATGATAAGCGAACTGCTAACTACACCAAGCAGTGAGACAGAGTTAGTTGAAAGAGATCATTATAATGAAAACATACACGCCGATCCTGAAGAAGTACATCCCCAACTGAACGAAATACTTTTCGCAGATGACCAAAGCATAATACATGAAAATGAAAAAGAACTTCAAATCCACGTAAATGCGCTACACACAGTCTGCAACGAATATAACATGAAGATCAGCATCACCAAAACAGAAATTCTGAAAATAAGTAGAACACCTAATATACTAACTATTCAAGTTAACAACGAACAACTCAAACAAGTGCAGCAATTTAAATACTTGGGGAGCATCTTCACAGATGATGGAAGAATTGATAGGGAACTTGAGGCAAGATGTCAAAAGGCGAACACAGTAACTTACCAACTCTCCCCACTGCTAAAACACCCAAGCATCAATATGGCACTAAAACGACAACTGATAAATTGCATGTTTATACCAACCCTCTGCTACCAATGCCAAACCTGGTCCCTAACAAGAGCACAGGAGAAAAAGATCATGACGTGCGAAATGAGATGCTTACGTAAGGCTGCCAATGTCACAAGGAGAGACAGAGTTCGAAACGAGAACATTAGATCAATTGTAGGAACCACACCATGCCTGCAATACATAAAGAAGCAACAAATAGAGTGGTTTGATCACTTGATGCGAATGCAAACCGACCAACTGCCTCTACGAGCATACAACGAACAGCACTACTGCCCTAGAGCAAGAGGCAGACCCAGAGTACGATGGATAGACAATATATCAGAGATCCTGAGGCAACACGGACTAACAACAACACGTGCAACACACCTGGCCCAGGATAGAAAAATGCAACTCCCCACTACGCTGTGAGGCAATTGTGGACAAGACAAGACAAGACAAGACAAGACAAGGAAACTTATGGGATACCCTGTACCCACAGACAGTAATGCAATATTGATGATCAAATACATGCAAATGTAAAGGATGCTTTTCATATCATGAAGCGCTTGTGTGAGCCTATTATGTTTACAAACCAACTGGCATCTGATGGGTAATGTAATCAGTCACGTTGGCACCTTTATTTTCTAGGACAATTCCCATTATGTTTATAAATCCACTCGCATTTAATGGATAATGTGATAAAAGTCACTTGGGTACCTTTATTTTCTAAGACATTTCCATTATCTTTATAAGTAACTTTCCTGTGTGGGTTTTGGGACCCCTATGTGAGGGAACCTGGGGTAGGAGCCTGTCCTACTACTAGGCGCGTCCACCAGGTGGCGGATGGTGGAAAGGCCTCTAGATATAGAGGTTAGCCACAAATATATTGAATAAGTGGCCGTGGACCAAAACAGGTGATGGTCATTGAGAGGAGGCGAGTTAGTTGGTGGGACAGCTAACTCTATAAAATACCTCAAAACTCTATGACATGGCCATCGGCGGGTAAGAGGCGCCATAACCTCTCCCCCCTGCTGCCTTGCAGGGTAAGTCTCTTTAGACAAAGGCTATTGGAGTCAAACCATATACAAACTGGCGGAAGGCAAGGGGAAACCACTACTATCCCAAGAAAATCATACCTCAAAATAATACATATTCAGATAACGACGTGAATGGGGATTCCAGTGGAATCACCTCGTCCGGTAGGGAGCATCATGTTCTACGGGTGATACCCGACCGTCATCCAGCTACTATGAGAAGAGGGAAAATAGAACATGTTGTGACTACTGGAAACATATGTGGAAGGAGAGAGAGAGGAAGACAACGAGAGAAGATGCTTGACAGTCTTGTTGCATGGCATGGAGGTGTGTCGGCACACGAACTGATACATGCTGCAGGAGATCGCAGATTATGGAGAGGCATGATCGCCCACGCCAGTCGGCAAGGCACCTGATGATGATGATGATGATGATGTGAGGGAAAACAAGAACAGACCCACCGACCAGTCAACAAGTATGTCATAAGAGCTGACTAACTGGGAGTTTCCTTCGAAGTCGGAGTGCATCTACCTGAGAGGCAAGTAACCAAGTCTGCATACATATAAGTCAAATCTGTAAAACGGATGTGCACACAACACTCAAATTCTTGAAGAAGACTGTCCAGAGGTAGATGGACAACCAGAACTTTATGCTGGAATTAACAGCCCATGAACGCAAAGAAGAAGAAAAAGAAGATACCAGCTTGTGCTTATTTGATAGTGTGATCAAAATCACAAAAGGCCCTTTTTTTTTCTAGGACATTTCTTAGGTACTTATTGAGGGCTTGGTCAACCTGGGTACCCATTGAAGCTTGGTCAACCTGTGTAACCATTGGGGGCTTGGTCAACCTGTGAACCCATCTGATAGCTTGGTCAACCTGGGAACCTTGTTAAATTGGAAAAATAAACTAACCCAAGGGTGCTACATTACTGCATCTGCCAGCAAATGCATGATGATACAACTATTCTGTTTTAATGTTACAAATACATAATGTTTGTGCTGTTGCAATTTCAGATATCATCACATAGTGCCTTGCCAACTGAATCCCTTCGGTTTTAGTGCAAAGAGATTCTATGAGTTGGGTTAACTTCATGGCACTCCGGACACGACAGAAGGTGCTCAGATTCCCCCTTTCAATATTTACATCATCAATCTGTGGTTAACATCTCCTATATTACGAGGGAGTCATGTTTTCCTTATTGTGAGCGGTTTAACCGTTGTCTCTTTTCTCGCCTTCTCACCGCTCGCTTGCGTGATTGCATGCAGCACTTCTTATGTGTACACAGGCGCTTGCAGCACCTGAAACAGACTCACAACAACTCAGCCTCCCACAAACATTACATGCACCAAGCAAACACCAAACCAAACCATATCATAACACCCCACGCAACATAGGAGAGGTCCAGTGACCTAAGTAGATATGAATGACAAGGGAAGTTACTCTAATCCTTAGCCTGAAAACTTGAACAGGAGTGTTTATAAAGCTGAGACAATGACTTACACATCCCATCCCTGTGTGAAATAGTCTAGAGGACCTCTGCCAAGGATCTTTATCACAGACTCAATGGAATATACTGAAAGAAAGCAAATGTGTTTTAACATGTGTGCTGAGAATTTAACATGTGCAATATTAAACATATCATTCCAGATCACTGTGGCTTGGAAGGCAATGAAACAGCAGACAGACTGGGAAGAAGTGGCAGTGACATGGTGCAATCAAACAGTGACTTAACCCACTAAGGGACCAAGATGTTAATACAATATAGTATCCAAGAAAAGGTGGCTGGATAAACATACCAGATTTTTTTCTTATTACTTGCTTCACTGTCTCTCTAGAGAAGGACAGTATGTTACATTTAGATTAAGCACAGAGCACAACATATTCGCCAACTATGTTTAAATTGTTCGGTGTAGGAAATAAAGAGACATGTCTCTGACACTTGGCACCAGAAAATGCTGAGCACGTGCTCCAACACTGTCAACTGTAATGTTGCTAACAGAGGAGCAGTGTGGCCAGTTCCAATCTCAATAAAGACAATGTTGTGATACACATGGAGAGCATTGGACTGCACTGTAGCTTTGAGTTTTCTGACAGAAGGATCAAAGAAGAAGAAGCAGAAAGAAGAAAGAACATGATTTCCAAATTTTCAACAGTGATTATACAAGGTGAAGAGACCATTTTCAGGCGAGTGATTCAAGCAGCTTGAGTTACATTGAAAGACAAATAATGAAGTGGTTTGGTCATCTAGTAAGAATGCATCCAAACCAACTTGTATATGTAACTACAGAAATAGGATTTCTCAAAAAGGCTGCAGCAGCGACCAAATAAAAAATAAAAATTATATCATCAGAGAAAACAGTCAAACAATACTAAATTCATCATAATCATCATGTGCCCTGCCAACTGGCGTGGGCGCTCATGCGTCTCCACAGATCACGATTCCTGGTTGCTTGGAACAGCTCTCTTAAAGATACCCCTTCATGACATAGTTTCAGCCCATCCAGCATCATCTCTCTTGGTCTGTCTCTACCCCTTTTTGCACTGATCTTTCCAGTTGTCACGATGTTCTCCAATGTCTCTCTTCTCATTATGTAGCCAAAGAACAGTGTTTGTCTCTTACTTATTGTTGTATTTAGAGATCTACTTTCATTAGCTTATTTCAAGCAATCGTTGTTAGATACTCTGGCTGTCCAAGGTATTCGTAACATTCGTCTCAGAAACCACATCTCTGTTGCTTCCACATTCTTCCTAACATGTTCACTGACATACAGCAGAACAGGTTTTATGTAATATTTTGGCACCATATTTCTGACAAATACTAAATTACTAACACAGAAATAACTCTGCCCGCTTAAAGAGATTGTCTTATGATACCAAACCATACACAGGAGTAGACAACTGTCAGTCCCTGGGGACCATGGAGTTGTGGCCCTGATTTTGGGAACAGCGCCTGCTATGACTGTAAAGTCCAATGTGGGAGTGGCAGTCTCTGCTACATTGTCCACCTTTAAATGTTCATACTCTTTCACTCTGAGGCTGGTTTTTTCTCATCTCATCTTTATAGCGTGCAGCGTTTGGCCTTTTTCATACTGCGACAGTCCGTCTTTCACTGTCTGCATCCAAAGGTCAGTCTGTAGCTGATCTCTCCCAAGTTTCTGTGTCAATGTTGATATCTTTCAGGTCACGTTTGCACTGTGTCCTTGAAGTGTAGCTTTGACCTTCCTGCAGGTCTAATCCTGTTACCAGTTCACACTACAGGAGATCCTTTGGAATAGGACAATCCTCCATGCGAGAGACATGTCCCGACCAATACAGGCTTCTTTGCTTCAGTAGAAAGTACAATGCTGGCATTCCTGCTCTTTTGAGTAAACATTTATTATAGACAAAGTCTGGTCATGATATACCAAAAGTGCATCTCATACAGCACATGTGGAAAGTATTCTGACTTTTTTCTTGAGGAGCATAGAGAGAAACCATACAAAGCATATGTCATACAAGTACAGAGAAACAGAACCTGTGGCAGACCAAGAACTAGGTGGAAAGAGTACATCAGAGAAACTCTACAAAAGTGTCAAGAATTTGGTCACAAGACAATGAACCTGAACCATTTCTCCATAGACACCTGAAGCAATAAAAGAATAAGTGAAGAAACAGCAGAACACATCCATTCAGCTGTAAATGCAGTTAAAGGTTGGGCTCCTTTCTGATGATATACAATGGTATGCAGTACTGGCACTCTACTGTAACAGACACTCTGTGGTGTACATTGGCATTTTGTGGTGAACACCAGTACTTTTTTTCAAACAAAAAGTCCTGATTTTAGGTCAATTAAATCCCCCCTCCCCATTAATAATATACAGTCGAGTCCACTTAAAGTCGAACTCGGATAAGTCGAATTTCAGTTAAGTCGAATTTCAGTTAAGTCGACATGACCAGCTTAGTCCTGGCAATTTTCTCTATTGTGTGTGCTGTCTGGATAAGTAGAAATCCTGATAAGTGGAAGCATTTTCTTAGGTCCCTGCAACTTCCACTTATCCAGACTCGACTGTATAGACACAAGTTAAAAAGTTAACTTTATGCAGCAACATAAATTAGCTGTAATTGTTTCAAATATGAAAACATATCCACCACAACCTTACAGTCTACTCTGTCGGTTTCTGCCTTTTATCCCCAGTGGAGCATAGGCCCTCAACCAAGTTGCACTGTTGTCCAATCCTTTACTATTGTGTTAATGCTCCCTCCAATGACAATGTCTCTTCCCCATTTACTAATTCCATTGTAATTAGGCCAACACTAGTCAAAGACATCAAAGAATACTTACTACAAACAAATACAATGGAGATCCAACTGGCACTGAAGTCATAATTTTTCACACTCACTGCTTCAGCTGAAACAGGAAATATTACTCTCGCTAACAATAAAGAAATCTGGTTTAACAGAGGAACTCTTGGAGAAAGTGCAATGAAGTACAGGTTCTCCTTGACTTAAGGCCTAGTGAGTTCCGACTTGAAAATTCTAAGCTGAATTTGGCTTAAGACTAACTGATATTTTTCCCCAACACCATTTTCATTCATATGCATTATAAAACTGCTTAAAACACAAAAATTCAATCTACGTACCAATAATTACAGTACATAATGTGAAATACACATAACATTTACTCTACTGGATCAGTTTCTATAACTTCTTTTTGACCCTACCAATGTAGTTCTTTTTTCTTTATACACCATTTTTATTTATTTAATTTTTGTGATCATAAGTGGGGATGGTTGTGAGTACAATAGGTCGTCAGCCAAGGAGAAAGTGTTTTCACATATATGCATAGTTTAACTCCAAAGATGACATAAACCAACTGATTAGAAAGAACCACAATCATCACCATCTGTATCAACTGCCAGATCATTCACAGACTGTTGCTAATATCACAACAACAACAACAACAACAACAACAACAAAAAACCTGATGCCTTGCTAATTCCCCTATCAACTACAAATAAAATATACATTACTTAACACTTTCATTCCAAGGCAAGTGCTACTTTAACTCATTCTTTCTTTAAAAGTTGTTTCTTTAATTATTAAATGCTTAAGCATAAGCGGTAATTATAGGCTGACGCAAAATGAGTTAGAGTTAACTATTTAAACTGTGTGAATCACTGTAAGAAAAGAATATACACAATTTTATGGATTATGATAAGACACAGTTTTTTTTCTTCTTTAAGAAATGACCCAGAGAATCCTGGTGCACCTTATATTTGAAACAGACATCAAACTTCCAGTTTTTGTATTAACTCTTTGAGTCCCAGGGGGTTTAGCATCACAGGCCCAAGGGGTAGTCAAAAGAGACGTAAAATCGGCGCATCATGCGTTTATTGGGCCTCTATGTAGGAATCTATGAACGTATGATGCGTTCCTTGGGACTCAAAGAGTTAAAATTCCCAGTTTTCTCACCAGTCTTAACTCTTTGAGTCCCGGAGGTTTAGCATCAGAGGTCCAAGGGGTGGTAATGCAATTTTGAAACGTCACAAGTGTAACATTAAAATAGACCATACTAATTTAACAGCTGCACAATATACACACATTATACATCAAAGTGACCAGGGATTGTTGAGGAATAATATTAGAATACTGCTATAAATATAAACCATGTCAGTAGTTCACGATTTGTAAATAAACAGATGGTACGTTTAGAGAAATTAGTAACAAGAAATAATAACTTTTTTCACTTTCATCATGGCACTCAAGGAAAAGTTTAAAAAATTTATATAAAATGAATCACAAATGAACATGAACCATTTAGTAATATATAAATAAAATTTACACAATCTGTCCATTAAATTTGGTTTCAGAGAAACTTTTAGAACATCATAACAGAGCACAAATTTTTAGTAAAGAAAAATGACCTCTGAAAACAATTAGTATTTTCACAAAAAATGAACTTTATAAAACATTCAATTTGCCCGTAATTTTATAGCCTATATTATCAAATAATAAGGGAAAAAACACACAAGACCTAACTGACACTGAAGACTATTGCCTTTTCTCACTAATATTTATTCTCTTTGTACCAGCTGACTTTGTTATCGAATTGTAGGCTTTGAGTGAGGTTTATTTCAGAGCTATTCCTTATCAAAGTTTGACTCTATCAATGATTAAAACAAGTCTTCTTCATAACTTTCTTTGTTTAGCTTTGGATAAATCTAATAAATGCATGCTTTTTTTAAATATGAGGCTTCTAAAGTCATAAATCTTGGTCACAGGCATGAAAAAGTCTGCTCAGAGGCCATAATGTTTTCACACAGAAACTTAGAAACTAGGTAAAGCTTATAAGCATGCTACATTTTATGCTTTTAACCACGTTTTCAAATACATATAATGGTCTACACATGTGACATTGAACATAAAGAACAGGAAATACCATTCAAAACCGCCAGTTTGTATTGTTATACTGGCCAGTAGTAAATTAAAAACCAATATGCACCACACGACGATTTTGCAACTACATGTCCACTGAGATAGAGCAACTGGCTGTATCTGTCAGACATGCTGAAGGGGCTAAACAGAGGTCAGGTCAGGTCAACTGCTAAAAGATAAACATTTTTTCTTCTTCTTTGCATTCACTATCTGTAAAAACTGGCCAAAAATTATATCTGTTAATCCAGTTATGATCTTTGGATGTTTTTAGAACCTGAGTTTTGCATGCACATTCGTTTTACAGATTTGGCTTATATGTATGCATACTATTGGTTTCCCACCATTCAGACAGATGCACGATGACTGTGAAACACCCCTACTTAATCGTCTTGTAAGATTACACGTCAGGGGGAACCAGTGAGTCTATCTCACCCCCCCTCTCCCAAAATGGGGCCCCGGAACCCTGGAACACACATCGGGAAGATAAACATATCAAAAACACATTATATCACAGTAGTGCACTCAATGAGGAACAGCTGGCCAAGTGATTTAGAATGCTGTGCTCTCATTCAGAAGGCCCAGGTTCCAATCCTCAATAAGGTGATGAATTATTTTTGTCAACGGCAAAAATCTTCTTCTTCACGTTCAGTTTTGTATGCTCAGGTCAGGTGGGTTGCCTCTATGAATTCGCATGTCAATTTTAAACCCCTAATGGTTCCTGACAGTTTGCTCCGCACTCTTTGCTCTTGTGATCAGGTTTCTCTCTGCAGTTGTTAGTACAGTGGACAGGTCCGTGGTCCCTTCTGACATGCATACTGTGGGGACTGTAGTCTTTATTTTATGATAAAAATTATATCCTAACCTAGTCTGTTTCGACTGCACTAGAGATGAAGCCCTAAACACGCAGGCTCAAGATCTCATTGTCATACACTGCTCAAAAAGTACATGCAGTAAAACAGTATACTTACTTGAGATCCGAACTGTCTCTATCAGGATCCATATAAAATTCCCAGCAATAATAATATCTGCAAAACAGCAACTAATTTTAATTTTAAAAGAAATATACTTGAAAATCAAAGATAAAGAATTCATTAAGGCTTTCAGTCCCAAGGAACGCAACATACATTCATAGGTTCCTACTTAGTAGCACAATGAGTGCAAGATGTGCCAATTTTACATCTCTCTTTACTATCCTATCCCTTGGGCCTCTGATGCTAAACCACCGGGGACCAAAAGAGTTAAAGAGCAGCAACATGCCTGTCAGAGGGCAACAGATCTATTCTTTTGCTCCAGTAGGCCTTGGAACTCATATGGGGAGCTAGCTGTCTGTAGTCTTGCACATTTTCAGTCTGATCGCATCCCTCCAATGTTTTCTATTCTCAGCAACTCTCTTGTTAAGGTTAATGCCCTTAGATCAAGGGTCTCAAACCTGCAGAGGATGGGGGAGGGGGTGCAGAAGTTTTAAGGGGACGTCAAGCAATTTTGAAATTTAGTGCGTTTGTACTTGTAATAATACGGATTTTCAGCTTTAAAAATAATGAAAACAACACAGTGTTGCCAGCTTGACATGGGGAGTGATCTCTGTTTCGCCTTGTCTAAATTCAGACAAATAATAGCAGATATCATCAAGACAATACAGGGTCAACCATCACACTGATATCTGCACACTAAATTATCAGCTGCTAGTGATTGTTTTATATATATATCTTTTTAATTTGACACTTTGATTTATGTCAAAGTTTTTCTCCAAGTTCTTGTGAACAGTGTTTGGGATTTTTCTTTCCATCCTCTTTTTAATCACATTTTATCATGTTGTGTGGGGATGTGGGGGGTCTTGCCATATACCATTGTCGGCGCCACCTAAAAAAGGTTTGGAGGCAACTGCCTTAGAGAGATAGGATGATCAGATGATTTTTGAAGCAGTGTGTCCACATTACTGCTGAGAATGCGAGAATTGAGAGTAAAGTCACCACATAAAGGCATGAGAGGCACACCAGACTACAAGAAGTCTTGTCAACCAGCATAAGACTGGCACCATTAACTTCAGGACAGTGATGTAAATGTTGCAGGATGAATCCGCGCACCTATGGATGTGTCCGGAGTGCCGCGATGATAACCCAACTCATAAACCAGTATCTTTTTTACTTCTGTCCTTTATTTCACCCAACCACCTATCCTGGTGTATAGGTCCTCAAAGAAGTCAAACCATCTCGTCCTATCTTTTGTGTGTGTCTGTGTGTGACTTGTTCATAGTTGCTCTGGTTTTCGTTCTAACCCATAAAGACTGCAGCTAACTCCTGGTGGGTGTAGCCATTATGGGTGCCCTTCTTTGGAGGTTGAACGGGGTATCTGGGATCTACATTGTTGAAGTCAGGCACGATAAGTTGGCTATACATATATAATTATTACATCAGTTATTTCACCAGCTCACACGTAAGCTGGCCATTGGCCATATTGAATACCATGACACAACCACTGCACAAATGAAAGGCATTCCACTGGAAAAACAGTTTGCAGGCTGCACCAAGCACTAAACTTAGTAGCTCAGGCAGCAAAACTGTAGACTACCGTCCATATGTAGAAAATGCATTAGCAAAGCGCTGTCAGAAGCAAAAATAACTTTGAAGCTTAACATTCTGTCATGCCCAATTCTCCATTTCAGACTGGAAGTCCTAAAGAAGGATGGTATTGTTAACCTTTCTGTTAGCAGCCTGGAGAGGACAAACAGATGTATCTTGCTAATATAAAAAGTAAACAAGAGGACCCTTTTCACAACTCTGCTACATACATCATGATGCTAGGACTATATTTTTATTGACCAATTGGATGATGTGGTCAACATCATGCTTGAAACTTTTACCTCCCAGGACATTTCCTGGTGCAAATTTTAGGCTGGGTCAACCCAACAGGCTAGGTCAACAATCTGACTCGACGCTGATTTGAATCAATTCCTTCGGTCCAACAGGTAAGTATCACCAAATTAAAGAAATGACATTGATAATTTAGGCCATGTCAGTTTTGTACAGAAATCTTATTCTCATTAGAGAATTGCCCAAAAATAAACTGCAGCTGTAGGAAAGTAATAACAATACAAGCTGCATTTTTGTAGCCCTTTCTTGACTGGTCCCTGGTCAAATTTACATTTAAAAAAAAAAAAAAAAAAAATCGAAGACACAAAATGTCATATTTGGGGAAAATTCAGTCGCATAACACATTACATGGGATCGAAAGAGTTGAGAGACATGAAATGATTAACAACAACCACAAATGAATAACACTTACAAATGAAATAATCGAACAATCTCCACGTTGTGAACCTATATAAACCTGAGGAGATAGAAAGAAACAGCAAGTTTAGGAAAATACACATCTGCATGGGAACAGTAATTACAACAGATTATACACTGACACTGAGGAGGGTCTGGTGTCATGGTTAAGGCTGCTGGAGTCTCATTTAAGAGACTCAAATGTGAGTCCTTCGTAAGCGTAATGGAATTTTTCTGCTGAAGGCAGAATATAAAATGTTTATAATGTGCGCACCAACCACAATTCCGGGCATATCAATTAAAGATCTCATTATACATTCACTGTATAGGAAAAACAAATCAGGTGACAGTACACATTCTTTTTGCTAAAAATACCCTTGCCCCCTCTTTATTACCGGGGGGGGGGGGGGGGGGGGGGGGGGGGGGGGGGCTGAACACACACACACACAAAGGACAAAGGCACATAAAATGAATTACAAATATTAACAAACATTTAACACTGACGCTGACAAATAACAATGTGTTGCAAAGGACTACTTTCACACAACTGGCACATGAGGCATTTAGTACTATACATATTGTTGCAGCCTAATCGGCACTCAATGGGTGATGTAGTCATTATCATGCTGGCTATCTTTACTTCTCAGAACAATTCCTGGGATCCATTCTGGGCTGACAGCGAAGATTAATTATAAAATCTGACTCAAAGTGGATAGGACACAAAGTTCTTCAAGCTGTTTTCCTTATAAAGCAGAAAAAAAAAATATATGTTACAGGAGTAAAAATGGCCACAAAGTACTGACAAAACTGAACAGTTCAACAGGTATAAATAATGATTGCCTACCTTTAAAAATTATATTACATGGATACTTGAAATTTGAGGACCACAAACTGGTATCACTCTTCAACTGGTTAAAAAAAAAAAAATTATGTGTGTATATATATATATATATATATATATATATTTTTTTTTTCTCCATTAATTCTGTATTAACGCTGCACACAAGTTAAATTTAATCAAGTTAAATGTAATCATCACTGGACACCATCGTATATCTTGTTCTTAAACAGAATCCGGCACAGAGGGGCAGGCTTAGACTATGTGCCTCTCCCTCCCTGAAATCCAGCTGAAGCACAAGTCATGGAGTCATCTTTATCTATAACCCAAGCTTGTATAAAATGCTAATCATGAAGTTATCTTCACCCATAGATACTCTAGGACCTAAATCAAGTTCTGAAGTAAGCTCTGTCCATAATTGCACTCTAGGACTTTAGTCAAGTTATAAAGTCATCATTATCTATAAACCCACTTTAGGACTTATGTCCTGAAGTCATTTTCATCCATAAACCCACTCTAGGACTCAAGACAAGTCAAGAAGTAATCACCCATTCACCTACTCTAGGACAAATCTTTCAGGCCCAAGCCACAGTGTGAGCGTTGACTGAGAAATTCCAATTTGTCCAAACAACACAGTCTGTGTCAACTGTGTGTCCCACACATATTGATTCACATACTGCTGGGTACTAGTTTTTAATGTTCAATATTGTACTTAAAATATATTCTGAGCAGGTTGTTCTAATGTTTTTACTTGTTTACAAGTATTTGTTTTACATTTAGGCCCAAAATCAAATTAATTGCAAGCATCATTTTCAGACAGTGAATTTTATGATTTTTTTCTTTGACTGACCATAGATACCAATATCAATCAATATCACAAGTACAGGCCTCAAAATGCACCTTTCTGCGGCAGAAGTTCTGAAACTGTTTCAAAGGCTTTTAATTCCAATTCTCATAATGAAAATTATTCAGATGGTGAATTTACACCAAAGGCAGCTGAGCGGTCAGCTTTTAGAGAATCTAGGAGTTCTGATGAGTCTGACACAGAGGATGTTCCATTGCTACTGAGTTTAGAACAGTCACCCACATTTGTATGGAAAGGACTGTTTCAAACAGTACCATACTGCGGCTAAGCTGCATTGAAAGCACTGCAGCTACAGTGTATGTAACCATACAAAGTTAATACTTTGTGTTTAAAGGTCCATTTATCTACATTCTTTTCTTTTACATTTTGTTCAGCATCCTATTAGAACCTAGAGAATCTGAGTGATGTTTGTTTTAGTATCTAGAAGCCATGAGTTGTTAACCCTTAGACTTGGTATTATGGATATCGCAACCTTTTGGCGTTGATTCCATTTTAAATACCGTAAATCTGGGAGAAATGTGGCTTTTCTGCCCAACCCCGGGAGTGAACCGACCACAAGGAGTTCGTCACCCGTTCACCGCACAATCCAGTTTAGCCAACTACGCTAGACAGCCGGGCGCCTCTGAGTGATAAACTAACCTAGAAACATCATAAATTTTTAATTTGTCAGGATACTAAACAAGCTTTAAAATGTTATTCTCAAATTTAGATATTCATGGCTCTTGTAGCTGCAAACCATGGTAAGTGAAAGGTTAAAGTCGAGAGCATTAACTTCACTGTACCGGTTTGATCCCATATGGTGAAGATGGTAAGTGAAAGGTTAAAGTTGAGAGCATTAACTTCAATGTACCGGTTTTATCCCATAGGGGTGAAGACGGTAAGTAAAGAATTATTTCATATAATTTTGTCTTTGTAAACATAAAAGCCGCTGAGTTCTGTTTTCTACCAACTACAACAGCACTAAACATTGACGTACAATTCAAATTCAAATGTACATTCATTCTTCTTTAAAAAAAATATATATATTTGTCTAGGGACTGGAAATATATAACATTCTCTATTGCCTTTAGTTTACACAACCCCCTCTGTCATTTTTTTTAAAACGGAAATTAATGTGAGCCAAATATCTCCAAATTCAAGGGCTTGAAAGAGTTAATTAAGTTGAACCAAGAAGTCATCTTCATCCATAACCCACTTTAGGACTTAAGTCATGAAGTCATCTTCACCCATAAACCAACTCTAGAATTAAAATTATGTAAATATTAGAAGCTTTGAATGTAGATTTATATTAATCCATGAATTACTCTTTTTTTTTTTTAATGACACTACAAAAGTAAAATGTGCAAAACAAAAACTGAAATGTGAGCCGGGAAAGTATTTAAAAAAAAAAAAAAACTATTCTGTATCACACATGGAAAAATTTATGAGACATAAAAATACCAGAGCTCAAGATACTGCCATAAAAAGCAATAAATAGAGACCACAGTGACAGTGATAGTAGGCTATGTATGACACCACAAGTGTTTAGGTAACGTTTTCTAAAAATGGTTCACCCCACATGAAAAACCCCCACTAAAATGTGATGTCTGAAAGGAATACGAGGAGTGACAAGGGACAGAATCAGAAACATAGAAATAAGATGTGATGACAAGTCAGAACAATTAGTTACTTAATTATGTACAGAAACACAAAAGTAAATAGAAGGAAAAGTGCATCTCCTATAGCCATGTAGTTACATTAGAATGATGTGAAGATAAGAAACTGATGATTGAAAGAATAAAGATAAATACATCGTTGTTATACTGAGGCCAAGACTCACCCCTATGAAAAGATAAACTCCTCTTAACTTCTCAGGTACTCATACAACTCTAGTTTTTATCACACAAGGGAAAAGTAACAACATATTACAAAGCACCCTTCTTCAACACACACAGAACATTGAATAAGATATTACAAAAATAACATTATCCAAAATATATGGGAAAAGTAATAATAAAATACTTAAATACTATTTTCAAACAAAAATAATGTGATACACAAACATCATTGTCTAACACACAATGGAAAAGTAATGATACAAAAGAATCATTCTTAACACACACAGGAAAAGTAATGATACAAAATCACCATTCTCTAACACATGGAAAAAGTAATTATACAATAACACCATTGTCTAGCACACATGACAAAGTAATGAGATAGAAAAATGCTTTTCTCTAACGCATGACAAAGTAATAAGATTTAAAAAAAACTTCTCTAACACAAGACAAAGTAATGAGATACAAAAAGACCATTCTCTAAACACATGAGAAACTAATGAGACACAAAAACACCATTCTTTAGCACACAGAAAAAGTAATGAGATTTAAAAAAAATCTCTAGCACACATAAGAAAGTAATGATGCAAAACACTATTCTCTAACATATAAGAAAGTAATGAGATAAAAAACACCATTTTCTAACACACAAGAAAAGATAAAGGACCTCATTTTTCATGCCCAAAACACATAGCACAAGCTAAACACTATTATACGAAAACATAATTTTTTTAACACATCTGAAAAGGTAATGTTACAAAAACACAAATCTGTAGCCTATATTTGAAAAGTAGCAATATTGTACACACATGCAATGTTATAAGACAAGGAAATGTAACTTTTATTCATGAACAAACAATTACAAACAAGACAAGTGACCCCCAAGACATACCTTCCATTTTAACCGGACAACATCGTAAATGTTGAAAAATTCATCCAAGGTCAGCAGCCCTGTCCGACTAGTGTTGAGGGATTTAAACATCAAGTAGTAATCTCTTCTGGCTGAAATAATCAAGCAACAATGTTGGATTGTGTGGTGTGTGTGGATGTGAACATTGGTGTGTGTGTGTGTGTGTGTGTGTGTGTATATATATATATATATATATATATATATATATATATATATATATATATATATATATATATATATAGACACACACACCATATATATATATATATATATATATATATATATATATATATATATATATATATATATATATGGAGAGAGAAAGAGAGAGAGAGACAGAGAGACAGAGAGAGAGACAGAGAGGGAGAGGAAGGGAAGGGGATGGAGACATAATGGAACAGTTACAGAGTTACTGTAGTAGAAGGTGCTGTTCATGGTAACTGTGACGTTGATTTTTCATTCATAGTTTCTTGGACTCTTCCTAGTCACAGAGGTGTGCGAGTCTATTCCGTGGGACATCTGTCAATGTCGAGCGAATTGTGACTCGACATATTGAAAGGTCAATGCGGCATTGCTCACAGAACAGCGCAATGAACAGCGACACACCGCAACATCATCACACATGGCCGGTGGTGTCCCCGAAATAATTTAGAATTAGCTCATACCCCTATGCCCAAGAGCAGTCCAATGATTTATGAATAAAACGGCACAAAGTATGTAACCTGATTTCAATGTCACGGTTACCATGAACAGCACCTAGTAAAAACTCATTAGCTCTTCGAGTCCCAAGGAACGCATCACACGCTAATTGGTTACTACCTGGCGACCCAACCAGCGCATGAAGTGTGACGGTTTTTAGTTTACCACTTATCTGTAATTACACGCGAACCGCTCAATTTAAACTTCCTTTCCGGTTCTCAAGTGTGTAGTGAACACACGTGGAGTGCATTTGTTTGGGTCTGGTCAGTTTTTAACGCTATAAATCTATATTTGTGTGGTCTACTGCGTTACCAAACAATTGTCTGAAAACAATATGTCCGATCAGTCATCGTCTTCACACCCAGCAAAGCGATTTACTGCTTTAGAAGCATCAAATTTGATAAAACAGTGGATCTATTAAAGTAATGTGGAGTTGGATAATGAAAGCAGCGACGTGAAATTTCCCCAAACCGTTGACGAGTCAAGTTTTGATGAGGATTGTGCGTAATTTACCTCCTGCTAAGAGCACAAAACTGACTAATTCTGCCATGGCAACACAAGAGAAGCACCTCATATCTATGAACAGGTTGACATGTTTACAGTGCCTTTACAATTTTTTCTATGTGAGGAATTCAATTGCTTTTTGGAAAAGTCACTGTTTGTGCCACTAGAGAATATATTTTGACGTGTTATGGTAGTGTTATTAAAATTGCTATGGAACAACAACTATTGCACATTTTGCTTTAATGATGGCTGTGCATACTTATAAATGGTGTACCTTCCTTTGAGAAGAATTTTGGATATACTATATCAAGAACTTTGGGATCAGCTTCTGGGTAAGTAGAAAAAACTTGTTCATAATTTACTCACCTCTTAAACTAAGTCACTGATTTCTCTACTAAATACTAACGGTATAACTGTTTGTTGTAGCAGTATGCTAATATTAATCCTTATCCATTTATGTTTATTTTCATGTATGATATGTATATGTTGCACATCAGCTGCAGTTGTGTGGTTTGTTTTAAAGTGCTGCATTTGTTAAAAGTCAAAATCATATTATGATGATGCAAAACCCCCTGGGACTCAAAGAGTTAATGAAAGAAAAACTGATAATAATACCAAACTAACATAGCAGTTAAAATTTGTATAGGAATTAAAACACACAAACACACGAAACAAACTTTTACTGACAAAGGGTTTGTACCCAGTGTAAACATACTTGCTATGCCCAAATTTACAAAAGCAACTTACTTTTATTTGGCAAGAAAAACTCCATCATCCCCATAAAGTGTTTCAAAGACAGCTGAGATTGGTTCTTTAAAAGAAATGAAATAATAAAGTAAATAATAAAAAAGCAGAGAAACAAAACAATAAATAAACTGGAAAGTAGCAACAAATGGATCAACTATGAATCAGGTCTGTGTTTTTGTGCCATTTATATCCTAAGTGTTTAAAACAAGTATTTTGCTCTTTTGATTTCATTTATGCTTTTCCTATCAAATAACCACTATCACTAAGTATTAAGTTTATTTTTTTTTCTAACAACATACTTAACTAAAACTCCCACTTTAGTCCTGTTCCTTTTCTGTTTCTTCACATTCACTTGCTGAAAACTCTTCAGCAGAAAGCTCAAGTTGTTTGTCCACTTTCCAGAAGTTGAGTTTTGTGTGCACATCCATTTTACAGTCTGGCTTATTTTTATGCAGACTGTTGGTTCCTTGCCTCTTAGGAAAGATGCACTCCAAATTCGAAGGAAACACCCCTAATTATTTAAGACATGCTTGTTAGGGGGGCAGTGTGTCTATCCCTCTCCCCCCCCCCCCCCCCCCCCCCCCTAAATTGGGCCCCAGAATCCATACTGGAAGAGTACAGTTGCTGGAATGTGCCAGGAGTTTTGTTTGTTTAGAACTTTAGAATAACAACAACTTATCCTGGCAGTTGCCATAAGATCAGTGGTTCTCAACCTGTGGGTTGTGACCCTTTTGTGGGTCAAATGACCATTTTACAGGGGTCGCCAAAAACCATAGGAACACACATTCACTGAAGTTATGAAATAGCAACAAAAATAACTGTATGGCTGGGGGTCGCCACAACATGAGGAACTGTATTAAAGGGTCACGGCATTAAAAAAAAAGGTTTATAGCCACTACCATAGATCAATATTTAATAAGAAAAATCCTAGAGAATGCCAGCACACAAAAAAATGGAAAGGCATTCTCCCTCTCTCACTTAAAAAAAAAAAAACCAAAAAAAAAAACACAAAGAGAAATAGACGAATAGTCTGGAAAAAAATCAAATGATAAACAATAATGCCTATACTACAAACAAACAAAACACATCGAAGAAATGAGAGGCAGGGACAAAATTACATACAAAGATGAGGCAGAAAATTAAATCAATAAAAAATGATGCATACTCACACACTACCCACAAAAAAAAAAAATAATAATAATAATAAGAAATACAGATACCATCATTAAAATTGAGAGGCACAAAGAGAACAATAAAATAGCATGGAACTCACTGCATTCAAAAACAAAAACTAACATAATCATATTTAAAGAATACAGAAAGACTATATCAGTGAACATCTAATCTATGTTCATACAACAACACCAAACAATATGGAAACAGTCCTAATTAGGCGAGACTGGGAGACTAAATCAATAAACACAAATGTCCATACAAAACCTTATAGCTAGAGAAGGCAGAAAAATTCATCTATAACCACACAACAAATAGAAAGACACAAAAATACAGATACAGTCATATTTAGATAAGGCAAACAAACTTGTCCACAACCACACAACAAACAGAAAGACACCGAAATAGAGATACAGTCCTATTTAAGGAGGCAGAAAAACTCAAGTCCATACCCATAAAACAAACAGAAAGACACCAAAATACAGATACAGTCGTATTTAGAGGAGGCACAAAGACTCTAATCAATAAACAATGCCCACACAATAAAAAAAAGAAAGACACTTACATTCTGAGTGACAAGCAGTTTGAACGCCCGTACACATCCTTCCCTCTTGTGGAAGAAGAGAGATCTCACTTTTGATTTCTCCAGGTTGGAGAAGGTATCATAAACAACAGCCAATAGCTGGAGATGTCGGTGAAACAGAAACAAATGAAATGTTTTCTGTTTTTGTTTGTTAGCGTGTGGGTGTGTGTGTGAGAGAGACAGAGAGAAAGAGAGAGTCAGAGAGACAGAATGTGATATATATTACACACACACACACATAAATATATATGATGTCCAAATGTGTGTTAGTAAGAACTGCAATGTCATGCACAGAAAACAGATGATTTAGCAAAAAAAGAGCAAAAATCTCTGTATACAATGTCAAATCAGTTGTGAAAAAAGATAATATTAGATACATAATTAGCAGGACAAGAGAATATCATACAGGAGAACCCAAAAAAAATTACATTAAAGCATACCCATTAATGTTAAAATTGTGATTTTAAGGGAAACACAATGAAAGAAATTATGATATCACTGGCAAGGCAACAGAAGCTTTTAAAACCTGAAGAAAATATAGAACAATAAATTTAAAAGTTTCAAAACCAAATTATGTATTTCTATATCAATTTCAGCATTTGCCAGTGACAGCTGGAGAACTACTGAAGCTATGGAATGAAAGTTAAATGCATTCAAAATAACACCTGAGGAAACCGACTAACAATAAATATGGTAAATTCAAGAAAAGCAAAGAAATCAAAAGAAAGGTCCAGAGTACTGCTGGTATCAACAACAATAAGACCAACAAAATGGGCAGGCAACTCTCATGGATACATAGTGAGTTGTCAGGTACTAAAGTCAGGTAGTAAACATTTTTGGAAAGTGATTCTGATAGTGAATTTACAACAGCGACAGCTGAGCAAAAGATTTGATAGTCACCCACATATGCATCCACAGGACTGTTTCACACAGTAAAATACTCATACTATGCCTAAGCTGCATTGACATTAGTGCAGCTACAATCTGTATGTATAAAACTACAAAGTCAATATTTTGTGTGTATAGGACTATAGTTACAATTTTCTGCCATTTAGTTTTCTTTGAAATTTTGTTCAGCACCTAGGAGAACATGGAGCCTCTGAGTGAGAAACTAACCAAAAATATCTAATAACTTTTAAATTTGTTAGGAAACTGAACAAACTTTGAAGTTTTATTCTCAAATGTGGATATACACTGCTCTTGTGGATACAAAATCATGGTGAGTGAAGATTATTTGGGTAAACACCTGCTGAGTTCTTATTTCCTACTAATTAAAAGAGTAAGTAATACACATTAATTATAAGAGTATTAAATAAAACTATATCATCAGATTAAAAAATGTACATTCATTCCTTTAAAAATAATATATACCTTTGTAAAGATTAGAAATAAATTACACTCTCAATTGCCTTTTTTTTAACACCACCACTCTGCCATTTTTGTAAAGGGAGATTAATGTGAGCCAAGTCTGTCAAAATTCATGGGCCTGAAAGAGTTAATATCATCAATTCATATTCTCATAGGGCAGCCTCTTGATTTAACTTCAGTTCTTTTTATGTGTAGCGCCTGTGTTGGTAGTTGTTCTGGCTGCATTCTTACTAAATGACCAAACAATTTGATCTTCAGTTTCTCAATGAATTTGCTGCATGGGGCTGTTCCTACAGTCTGCCTGATAATATCATTTCTAACTTTGTCTCGGATGGTTAAGTTGGCAGCTTTTCTCGGGCCTCTCATTTCACAGGTGTACATTTTACGTAGTTTGGCCTTTGATAATGTCCAAGTCTTGCACTGGTAGTACAGCATTTGCATGAATCTGCTGTTCATAGTCTGTTTCTTGGTGCTTATAATTATCTCTAGATGTCTCAATAACGGTGTCAGTTGGTATATAAGTGCAATAGCTCGTTGGCATCTTGTTTCTATTTCCCAATCTATTTTGCTATACTCCAAGAATATACTTCCTAGATATTTAAATTCTTTAGACAACTGCTTCAGACAAGTACCATTCAACCCGATATGTAGCGGACTAGGAATTCTGCCGACCTGCATTGCTTCAGTTTTAGTAGTATTTATTTTCATGTTATAGCTTCTGTATCTGGAACCTAGCCTGTTCAAATGTTCTAGCTTATAACAATTATACAACAAACTTAAAATACATCTCAGGTAGATGCACTCCCACTTTAAAGGAAGCTCCCAATTAGTCAACTCTTACAACATGCTTTTGGGTAGGTAGTGGGTCTGTTCTTGTTTTCCCTATAATAGGACCCTGGAACCCACAGTTGGAGCCAGCATTCGTATTTAGCGTGTTTCTTCTCAGATGCTCAGCTCTTATCCTTTCTGTAATCATTTCTTCCATTCTCATTCCCTTTCTGGTGTGCTCCCTCCATACAACACAGTCCATGGCAATTTGTTCCCACAAATCCACCTCAATGCCTGTATCATTCATATCCTGCTGGCACATATCTTTATATTGTGGTAGAGGTTGACCTTGACATCTTCTACACATCCGTAATTCAAAATAGAGGAGGTTCTTAGTGACTTTACCATCCTCCATTCTCCAGGTGTGACCCAGCCACCTGAGCCTTCAGAGACTAAGCATTAAGAAAACTGCTGTATACCTGTTCTTTCCATTACCTCAATGCTTGTTTTCTTCTCTTGCCACTTCATTCTATTCTCATCGTGCCCAGAGGCACATAAAGCAGAGAGAAACTGTCGCCACTCAATTTGATCCTGAGCAATTCTCTCTGTCTCCAGTTTTGTTCTTCGTGTAGCCTTGAGTTCAGCCTCAAAGGTTCGCCTCCAAGTGCCTCTGGGCCGGCTTCTCCCTCACTGTCCTTGTGCTGTGCATTGCATTGCCTGTCTCATCCGTCTCTCCTTCTTCATTCTGAGGACGTGTTTAATCCACCTCCATCTTCATTTTGTGAAATGTATCTTCTAAATTATCTTCTAAGTATGTTATTTGTTGTAATCTAGAATTGCTGATTTTATCTTCCCCTGTGAGCCCCAACAATCTTCTGAGAAGTCTTTCCTCAAAATCTCTGAGCATGATCTCTTTCTGTCTCTTTTCCAAGTTTCTGCTCCATAAAGGAGAACTCTCCTAATCCATGTTTTGTATATCCTGAGTTGAGTTTTAGTGCTGCAGATGTTTGATCTCTAGACACTCTAAGTCTGTTGTAAGCAGCATTTGCTTTTGCAATTCTCTGCCCGATTGCAACCATTATATTTCCATCCAAGGAAATATTGCTTCCCAGGTAAGTGAAGTCAGTTACTGTTTCAAACCTACATTATCTATTACTATAGGTCTTTCCCTTTTGGGGTTTATCTCCAACAGCTTTGTTTTATTTACACTGATTCTTAACCCTGTCAGTTTTGCTATTTCTGTGGATCTTATCTGTCTTTTGTTGCAGATGTTCTTTACTGTGGCTGATGATACAGACATCATCTACAAAGTCCAAATGTTCCAGGTGTTCGAGAAGGTTCCATCGAAGACCTGTCCATATGCCTATGGTTGCCTTCTTCATAACATAATTTATCACTATGAGAAACAAGAAAGGTAACAGAATGTCCCCTTGTGGGACTTCTGATGTTACCCTGAAGTATTTTGTTTCCATGAGTCCTACTTTCATTTTGCATTGGTATCTTTCACAGAGTCCTTTAAATATGTTTATAATGTTATCGGGTAACCCAGACACAGCAAGGATGCTCCACACCATTGTTCTATCTAGACTTTCAAAGGCCTTTTCACAATCTATAAAGTTTACATATAATCTAGCATTCCATTCTAAAGCTTGTTTCACAATATTTCTGAGAATAAAAATATGATCACAGCAGTTTCTTCCTTTTCTGAATCCTACCTGATCTTCAGGCAAAACTCTGTCTAAGGACGTCTTTATTCTGCTGTATATCACTCTACAGAATGCTTTTGTGGGTATAGACAATAGTGTTATGCCTCTCCAGTTGTTGTAGTGTGAGAGATCACCTATCTTCGGTGGTGGGATGATTATTACCATCTAGTTGCAGTGTGAGAGATCACCTATCTTCGGTGGTGGGATGATTATTACCATCTAGATGCAGTGTAAGAGATCACCTTTCGTCGGTGGTGGGATGATTACTGCCATCTAGTTGCAGTGTGAGAGATCACCTTTCGTCAGTTGTGGGATGATTATTACCACCTAGTTGCAGTGTGAGAGATCACCTATCGTCGGTTGTGGAATGATTATTGCCACCTAACGCCAAGTATATGTCTTAGGTACAGCATGAGAGAGTGTAGACAATAAACTTCATTATGTGCCTCAAGCGTAACAGCCTCAAATGGCTACCAGGATGGGCTGTCCTGGGAAAGTAAAGACGGCCGGCATAATGCTGACCTTATAACCCACAGAGTGCTGATGGTCTGTAAAAATATGGGCGCTCTTCCCATATGCCCGATACGCCTAAAGGCGTGAAAAGGGATCTTAACTTTTACTTTACTTACAAGCGTAACAAATTAATGAAATGTGACCAATAAATTTTCATGGATAGTCAAAACGACTAGTAGAGAACTTAGTTAGAATCAGCAAACCATTCACTGTCTTGCTTTTGATATTGTTCTCCATCACACTGGTACACCTTTGATGTATACATGTGTATATACACACATACACATGTACATATGAGACACATACACACACATACAATATAAATGCAGACGGAGTATAAATCTAGTGAAAGGTAAATTATAATACCAAAACACAACAATTTTACCAGATTCATTAAGTATAATTCTAGTGAGAGCTAAACTATGCAGAAACAAACAAAATTACCAGAACTATAAATCATAATTTTAATTAGAGCTAAAAAAAAGTATAAATCTATTAATAGCAAGAAAGTATGATTCTAGTAAGAAATAAACCATATTAAGGCACCTCACAATCTTAACAGATTTAAGAAGTATAATTCTAATTAGAGCTAGAAAGTATAATTCTAGTCAGAGCTGAAAAGTAAAGACACTAAATAATTCTAGTAAGAGCTAAACTATACAAAGACACTCAACACTCATACCAGATTGATGAAGTAACATACCAGTTAGGGCTAGAAAGTATATTCTATTTAGAGCGAGAAAGTTTATTACTAGTTACAGCTTAAACAGTATAATTCTCGTCAGAGTTATACAAAGACACAATAATCTTACCAGATTCATTAAGTATAACTTTAATTAGAGCTAGAAAGTATAACTCTATTAGAGCTAGTAAGTACAATTTTAGTTAGAGCTTAAGCATTATTATTCTAGTGAGAGTGTGTGAGAGTTAAACACAATAATCTGACCAGATTCATTAAGTATAAATCCAGCTAAAGTTAGAAAGTATAATTTTAGTGAGAGCTAAACTATGTAAAATAACACAATCTAAACTCTTTTAGACCCATGAATTTTGACAGACTCGGCTCACATTAATTTCCTTTTGCAAAGAAAAAAAAAAATGGCAGAGGAGGTAGTGTTTGGAAACAAAAGGCAATTGAGAATGTTAAATATTTCTAATCCCTACAAAACAATAAATTTTTTTAAAAAGAGGAATGAATGTACAATTTGAATCTGATGATAAGTTTTTAATGCTGTTATAGTTAGTAGAAAAGAAGAATTCAGCACGTGTTATATTTACAAAGACAAAATGTTACCCAACAAATCATCACTCACCACAGTTTTGCAGCCACAAGAGCAGTGAATATCCAAGTTTGAGAATAACGCTTTAAAGTTTGTTCAGTTGTCCTAACAAATTCAAAAATTATGATATGTTTCTGGGTTAGTTTATCACTCAGAGGCTCTTTGTTCTCATAGAATGCAGAACATAATTTCAAAGAAAAAAAAATTGGAAATGAAATATTAATTTTGAAGTTATGTACAGACTGTAGCTGGAATGATTTCAATGCAGCTTAGCCTCAGTATGATTCTGTCTGAAACAGTTCTTTGAATGCAAAAGTGGGTGACTATCGCACCCTTCGCAAATGAAATGGGTTCTCTGGGGTTTACCTAATCAGAACGGACAGATGACGGCTCAGCTGCTGTAGGTGTAAATTCACCGCCTAAACTAATTTCCCCATATTTTAGTTTTCATAATCATTATCAGAATTAAAAAACATCTGACTGAAACAATTTCAGAGCTTCAGTCATAGAAAGGCTCATTTTCCAGCCTGTGCTTATGTTCGAACATTGGTATCTATGGCCAGTCAAAGATGAAACCAGAAAATTTACTGTTTGAAAAAGAAGCTAGCAATGAATCGGGCAAATCTGCGCCCAAATGTGCAAACAAAGATTTGTATACAAAGAGAAATGTTAGAGTAACCTTCCCTGAGTATTTTAATGGTAGTTCTGAACATCAGAAACAACGGAGCTGTATGCGAATCAATATGTACGGTACACACAATCGACGCCTACTGTGTGGTTTGCGTTGCTCAGGCCTCAAAGATTTCATAGATTTGTGATAATGGTATAATTTTAGTGGAGAAATTATAACTTCAAGGAGAGTTGGACTATAAAAACAATGAGTTGGACTATAAAAACAATCTTACCAGGTTCATAAGAAAATATAATTCCAGTGAGAGGTAAACTATGAAAAACACAGAATACACTCTGGACTCGTTGTAAGCTGGCATCATTACATCTGGGTAACTGAAAATTCAAACAGACAAAGAAAATTACCTACACACCTTGTTGCATACACAAAGTAACATTCTGTGGTGCTTTCTTAATATCCTACCCCAAACAGGGGAAATCCCCAAGTCACGGGACAGTCTAATATTTCAATGGGTGATAGAAGTATTTAGACCTAGGCTGCATGCAGTCGTGGGACTTAGGTTGCACTCTCTCATGGGATGCAGGTGGGTTGGGGTTAGGGCCAGTTCTAGATGTTTTGGGATCATTTAAAGCATCAGAAAGCTGGGAAACCCAGTCTTACCACCCTCTAAAATGTTGGACTGTCCGGTGACATCATCTGGGATGGGATATTACAAAATAACCCATTCTGTTACTGAAAGGTGGACATGATAATCATGGTGAAGACGCTCACAGACTAAAATTCAAGATAAGTTACAACAATAATAGACAATGTATGAGAACTGCTTCCAAGACTACTTCATTCATGTACGCATACACAACATGACTTTATTTTCCGATTCTTCTTCTGCCTTCTATTGCCAAATGGAGCATATGCCAACAACCTCCTCATGACAAGTTATTCTATCCTTCACTACTGCATGCAGATCACCCCATGCTGTCCCCCTTTTTTCCATCTCAAGATCCTGTCTCCATGTATCATTTTTTTGGGGGGGTCTTCCTTCATTTCCATGCCCCTGTAGGTTCTAGAGCAAAGACATTCTAGTTATTTTGTTCTCAGGTTTTCTCAACGTGTGTCCTTTCTAATGCTAGTATTTTTTTTTCTTCTCCGTCTTGGTCCACTAGAACTTGTTTAGCACTCTCCCAAAGCTCAACATCAGTGATTCTGTTATACCATTTTATTCCTCCTATTCTGTGCAGGCAGCAGTTAACAAAAGTTTGCAGTTATTGGTAATTGTTTTAGTTGTTCTTCATGATTCTGCTTCACATAGCAGTACTGATTTAAAATTTTAAGTACACATTTTAAAACACTTTGTACACTTGTATAATTTCCAGAAGTTGCCTCAAACACCACTGCTAAAAAGTAAAAGAATAAATCAAGTTCTGGAATGGAAAACAAATTTAACAGATTGGACAATCTGACTACTGGTTACAATTCACATACATTAATGTGAATCATCATCTTTGTGTGCCATTAAACATGATATAAGGCTTAAAGTTTATTCCTTCATTGTGTTTTCTTCAGTGAAAATTTTTGGTGGAACCTAATCAGTTTTTGAGTCTATTCCGGTGCCTGTGGAATAAACACTGTTTCCTTTGTGTTCTCACTTCCTTAATCCATTTCATTCCCATTTCAGTGTATGTATTGTAATTGTTTGTAAATTTCGCCTCAGAATGTGCCTAACAGATCACCATCTTCTTTCTCTTATAACAGTTAACACCAGCAGTTATCCAGACATTTCTTTCTTCGGTCCTGTTCACGTTTCCTGGCCCAGAATTAGAATGATTTTCCTTGCCATTCATGCCTCCTTAGTTCGCTGAATCTCTCCTATGTTGCGGAGGTGTTATGATATGGCTCGGTTGGGCGTTCACTCGGCGTATGTAATGTTTGTGGGAGGTTGTGCGTGAGTCTATTTCAGGCGCCACAGGTGCCTGTGTACAAGTGAGAAGTGCTGCAAGGAAAAGCAATGCAGGCGTGACGATTCTATTTATACTTTCATTGGTGGTGGTTTCCCCCTGAGAGAAAGAAAGAAAGCAGTTACAAGGAGCGTAGGAATAGAAAAATATCACTGTTTCCATACTACCAAACCGTCGCGCAGGTAGCAGAATGCGAAAATAATCACGCAAGTGAGAAGAGGAAAGACGAGAAAAGAGGCAACGGTTAAACCCTTCACAATAAGAAAAACATGACTTCCCCGCAACGAAGAAGAGGCTCATCGACCTAAGGAGGCATGAATGGCAAGGGAAGTTACTTTTATTCTGGGCCTAGAAACGTGAACAGCACCTTTTCTTCTTCTTTGAACTTTCTGTCAGAAAAACAAGAGGCCAGTAGCCTCGATGAAAGTTATCCTGCAATCCCAGTCCACCCCTTTTTTTCCCACCCCCATGTACAATGAAGCTTCGTCTTGATTGAGGTTGAAACAGGCCAGACTGCTTTTCTGTTGGCAGTATACAGCTGACAGTGTTGAAGTACAAGCTTAGCATTTTCCGGTGCCAGGTTGCAAGGGCACATTTCTGTGTTTCCCACACTGAAAAACAATATGTGAACTTATGTTGGCAAAGTCTGCTGTGCACTGTCCTTAGTCTGAGCATGACGTACTGTCCCTCTCAAGAGAAATGATGAAGTGAGGCTCTTGAAGAAAATTGAGTGTAGGTATCCAGTCATCTTTCTCGGATACTCGTCTTTATTGGTGGGTTAAGTCACAATGAGAATGCATCATGTCACTGCTGCTTCTGGCCAATGGTCCATAATTTTATCGCCTTAAAAAGCCAGAAGCCTGAAAACCACTGCAGGGAATATTTTTCTAATCAACAGCCTTTTCTTTACCAATTGTGAATTGATGTCACCAAAGTTTGTAACAAAATATGATTGACACTAAAAAAAAAAAATGACAGAAAATTAGAAAAAGTACTTAAAATATTGCAGTGTATTAATAGGTAAGGAAAACACAAAGCTGCTTGATAGGACCACACTGAGAAAACCTGATATTAGTTATCTAGAATTTCCTTACACTGCACCTCACAGGGCATTAGGGTATAGGATACTGAGAGAGACCTAAAATACAAGAAGAAGAGAATGAGGGAAAGAATAATAATATGAGAAGGGTATGGAGAGAGCTACAGGAGTTGACAAAAGATAGGACCGAGTGGCATAAGTTGGGTAAGAACTTAAAGATTTAAAAGAACAAATGAAAAAGTAAAAAAAAAAAAAAAAAAAGAACGAATAAAAGAAAAAGAGTAAACCAAGAAAATGCAGATTTTGGTTTCAAAGATAATAGAAAATAATTGAATTTGACCTGCGATAACTGAAGACAGCCATTAGAATAGCACAAAGGCATAGCTACGCATCTTCAGCACTTGAAAAAAAAAAAAACACCACTGTTACATCCTTTAAGAGTTGCAAAAAATACAAATTCATTTACCAGACAAACTTACTTTGCCGTTGTAAGCAAAACAAACAGGCTGATGAAACTGCTTTGGATTGTCTTGAAATTCTGAGCAGAATTAAGAAAACAAATTTTAAATTAAATGTAAAAAATAAAAACAACATTCTAAAGTGGTTTGATGCTTGCTTGATGATCAGTTGGCTTACAGACCATGGGTTTCACAAATGAAATACTGACTGGTTTATACAAATATGGGATGCAAAATAACCTTCATTTTTTGTCCCAGGGTATACTGGTGTGAAAGGCAATGAGAGAGGAGACACCTTGGCTGGAAGTGCAACTATAGGGAATGGGCCCTCTATGGAAAGAGAGACATCATCAATGCCATACAAGAGACTAAACAAACACTGTGAGGCTCTTGGTTTCATCAAAAATGAAAAGACTGCATACCCTGGGTGTACTAATTAGAGCTAACAGACAGAAAAACCATGCGGGAGCCACCCCTCATTACACCAACTAGAACAGAATGGGAGTTGTTAGCCTAAAAACACTTGAAGATATACTCAGGAAGAGCTCAGAGCACTCATGGACAAGTCCAATGTGCGATGAATTTGATCTTGAAATCAACAATAAACAATATGTGTCTGTTACCATATGTGAGGTGTGCCAATGGTGTGCATATGGTCCTTTCAATGTCACTGTCTTGTGCCATTATTTGTCACCCAGGGCTCAGAGTCTAGTCCTCCATTTCGCTCTCTCCTGTGCAATCACTTCAATATCATGAACAGAACCCAGTCCAGCACCTCTGGCTTCTTTTATCAATGTTTCACTTAAAGTTTCTCTTGGAAGTCCCTGTTTCCTCAATTCCTTAGTTTTTCATTTCAGTGCTTGTTTGGTGACTCTCTGCTAGTGTCTTCTTAGGATGGGTTCTTTTTCTTCTGCTCCTTCTTTTGTTCGCCTGAAATAAGTTGTCTATATCAGCAGTTTTGTCTCTTGTATAAATTTCACTGTCGTTGTTAGTTCATTCAGTGGTCCATAGAGTTTACATTCCACTGTTGTTCTTTCTGGCCAAAAGGTTTGCCTTAATGTGTCAAATTCGGTGCAGTCCTGGAGTACATGCTCTGCTGTCTGGGGTACCTTTCCACAGGTGCACATGGCTGATACATCTATCTTGAATTTTGTGTACATGTAGGATGGGTCCAATACAGTGTCCTCTCCTCTGTCTTATAACTGTTGATGCTAATGGTGACACTTCACTGAGGTACAAGGTGGAAGAGAAGAAAAAGAAGAAGATAGTGGTTGTTGTCCAGATATTTCTCTTATTTCTTGACCCTCCTTGAATTCCCCCTTCCATACCAAAATGGGGCTCCGGAACCTAAAATTCCTGTTTTAAACTGTTTAGTCTTCTTACTCTTTCTCTTGACCTACTGGTTATGGCATAAAGCACAAGAGGAGTTAGATGTAATTTCCTGTCTTTTGCTAGCTGACCATCAGGCATCAGGACTGAAGTTAAGGCAGTAATGCTACATTCCGATGGATGGAGAGAATCTCAGCAAAACGCAGTGTCATAGTATCAGATTCGCAAAGCTCAGAAGGGTGGAGGCAGGGTTTCTTCATTATGGAATAGGTCTCATCAATCCAGAGGTGACAGGTGGTGAGAGTCACGTGGATATTTTGTCTGGGCCATTCTGGTGTGTTTGGGAATGAGCGGGCAGAAAGTTTTGCTGTATTCGCTCCACTTGGGGAGCACAAGACAAAAGTGATCTCTCACATGTGGCACAAAGTAACAAGTAAATGCAAGATACTGAAAATCTTCACCAGGAGAAAATGTTGCAGCAGGGATTGTCTGTGGGCTCTGGACGCCACTCAAGATTTGGTGGAAATGAAAGGTGAATGGTTAACCAGACGACAATGGGTACCATGAGTATGGAGATTCTATGCTGGCTGTTAGAAAGAAGGGAGATTGAGCTAGTATGGGCTTGTCCTGAACACTGCGATGTTGAATCTTTAGCTAGATCAACCCATCTGCTAGTTGCATTGTTTGTGTTAATATCATATTGTATTTCTGCAGTACCTCTTTTACTCCCTCCCCAGCATTACTTTCTTGGTCAGCCTCTTCCTTGTAGCCTGCTGTGTATGCTCCAGCTGTTGGCTGATTTTTGCTCCACACTGACTAGATTTTTCGATTCTCTGAAGTTCTATAATTCTGCTTAGTTACACATTTAAACTATCCTAGTCTGTTCACTGAGACCAGTTGTACACTTCATTCCCCAACCCTACAGATTAACCTGAAAAGAATCAACAAGAGATATGTCATTATGCTTCAAGTTGTCACTCACTGCCTACAGTATGTCCTCCCTGTGTAAGTTCCAGGGCCCCATTGTGAGACCAAAAAAATAAAAAAGGAATTGTGAGACAAAAAAGGAACAGACCCTCTGTCCTCAGCATTCATGTTGTAAAAGTGTATCAATTAGGGTTGTTTTTTTCAAAGTCATAGTGCATCTGCCCAAGAGGCAAGGGACAAATAGTCTGCATAAAAATAAGCCAGATCTGTAAAACAGATGTGCACACAGCACATGTCATGGAACAAAATTTAAGTCAGAAAGGGACAAATGCTGGTGAACGTGAAGAAGAAGGAAAAGATTCTATTTTTTCAATGTCCCAAGAGTAGATAAGTTTCTGAAAGTGTTAGGTCATTCGTACCAAAGCTATCTATTGTAAACTGAAGCATTCATAGAATCAATAATGTTTGCCACTTTATGTGGCCTGGGGTTTATTACCACGCAAGGGAATTCAAATGAAAACCATAAAAGTATGATAGAAATTATAATCAAAATGCCACTGTAACCTGTTAATATTGCTGTTAAGGCTGCGGTCATCTTTAAACTCTCATTATGAAGACACTGTGTTCATCTGCATCATAATGTTATGTACTTAACACTCTTGACATTCTTAACCAAAATACTGACAGGTTATAAAAAACTTATGTCACACTTTTAAGTCTTTTCATCTGAAGCTTTCTCATAATTCTGATTCAGCTGTAGATTTAGCATCAGACTGCCTTGTGCTGATGTTGATAATAGTAGAAGTATTTAGCCATTTGATTGTAGTTTTACTAGACAATTTTATGTTTAGTATTTGGCCACTGCTTTCTAAACAATACGACACTGCTGTCTTTGAACTCAAATATGGTGGGATTGTGAAATTGCAATCTCAACTCCTAAGACAAAGACGATCAAACTTAAGACAGTGTAACAACAGAAATATCTGCTACCTAACTAAATTATATCGTAAACTTACTGTGTCTGTCTTTATACCTGAAAACAGATAAAATGCTGTGGAAAGAAGAAACCATGTTTAACAATCATGACATGTACTAGGGTTGTATTCTCAAGAAGTATCATGATTTTGTCACAAATATCAACTGGGTAAGTATGTAGTCTCACAAAAAAGACATACAATATCATAAACTATCATGATTTTCTAATAAACTAAAACTGAATCAACAGGAAATGGCAAAGTTTTCTCATAAACTAGAACTGAATGTATATGAAGGGACATGGATTTTCTTATATAAAAAAATTGTATGAAAATAAAGGGAAAAGCTTTCTCATAAATAAGAAGTGAATGAAGATGAAGTGACATAGTTTTCTCATAAATCAGAACCCAATGAAAAAAAAAAGTGTTATAGTTACCTCATAAACCAGAAATTAATGAACATAGGTCAGTTACCTAAATGTGACTGTATGTGACTGATTAAGAAAAAAATAATGATCTGCTGCAGAAAGTCAAAAATGACCTTGTTTCTATGCCTTTTTATCATATTATAGAACTGGTGATTGATACATATTTTCATGACCAAATATCTCTAAATAAACCATGCATTCTTTTTCATCTTCTTCTTCTTCTGCGTTCATCTAAAGATGTAATTGTCTTGTGCCCCTTTTCACATGGCTGCGATATTTGCATTTTTCGGCTGACACATCTGACTTCTGCAGGTATTTGTTGACCAGAGCCCTCCATTGCCTATCATGCCATTTTCTTTTCTTCTTCTACCCAATAAACCCCTAAGCCTAAAATGAGTACCAGGTAGAATCCTGTGAGGTAAAGGTGGTTGACCATATCCTCTGTTGAGTGTCAACTAGACTATAATAATATGAGTCTAACATCACATATCTGAGTTAAGTTGAGTCAATGTGATCATAACCCTACACAGGTCAGACTTTTCCTCTGGTACTCCCACCCACTGCTTTCCTTGCCCAGTGTTCTCCAGCATGCATATTTGTCTTATTGTGTCTTCTGCTTGAGCCAACCACGATTTTCCCCTTTTCAGCCTCTGACCCTTATCTGCAGCCAAAGCTTCATACAGAGGTTGTTCTTTGTCTGCAGCTACTCTGAGGTATCACATATCTGATGAGCCACTGGTATGAAAACTGTCCTTTAATTACCACTTAGAATAAACCCCAATGGAGAGCAGGCCATCAACCAGTTTGTCTCAAATGTCCTATTTTCTGCCATTCTGTGCAGGTGACCCCAATGTCCTCCCATTTTTATTCATCTCAGTTTTTTTTTTCTCTTCTTGATTTATGAAATATGTTTGGGTCTAACTTTATTTCAGAAAGGCAGAATGTAAGATGGGCTGTGTGACCAGTTCTGAACCCTTTGAAAAAAAAGTTTGTTTGTTCGTTTATTTGGGGCCCAAATAGGAAAAAAAAGAAACTTGTGCATTTTCTATTTCTCCAGTTACCTCATCAGTCTTGAGGGAAGATGTAAGATCTACTGTGTGATCTTTCTAATGCGTTGTATTAAGTTTACCTCGATTTCTTTGAGGCTGTTACTGATGCCACTACTCCAAATTTTGTATGATCTTCTCCTCAGTGTTCATTATATTTCTTGTATCTGCTGTATAAGCTGTAATCATTCATATACTCACCGAGAATGGAAAAGATGAGCATGAAGAACAGCAACAGCACAATCATATCAAGAATGGGAGGAAGAGACTGCATGATCTGTCTGGTAATCCTGTAACCCAACAGAAGAGGTGCCATTATAAATAAGGTGCTTCCATCGAACTCGAGTGTTCAGCTTAGATATCTGGTTCATGACAAGATGAGATTTCACAAAAACAGAGGTGTTGGCTGCACATGTTAACCTCGACCTGATGGACCAGGATGCCTCTCTTTATCTATCCTCGATCAATCTAGCTTGGGAGGCCCTGCCTGGAGCTACCCTACCGCTGGCATAGCTCTCAGGGTCACTGAGAAATACAAGCTTCTCTGCCTAAACCTCAAAATCAAATGGAAAACAAGAATCAGACCATAAGGCAGTCCCAAGATGGTCGAGACCTACAGACAGAAAAACATACACTTGTAGTCACCAAGTGGAAAGAGAAGGCCAATCTCAGTGATGAATGGAGGGGGTTTGTTTTACTGCAGAAATGAATCTCAAGGACTGAGAATGCTGAAAAAGATAAAGATATGTAAAGGCCACTGCTGTGACATTAACCACCTTATTCCTTGAGTACTGACATAACAATCTTCTTCTTCTTCTTCCTTTTGTATTACTGCTTATGTTAAGTATGGCACAGAAGAGTTAGATGCAGTTTCCTGTTGTTTACTAGTTGTGTAGCTCACATTATTTCGCACTGCATTTCTGTAGTGCCACTTTTACTCTGTCCACCCATCTCTTTCTTGGTCGGTCTCTCGCATTGTAGCCTGCTGCTTTCATGTTGCACGCTCTAGCTGCTGGCTGAATGTGTTCCATTCTCACCAGATGACTGAACTATTTCTTCTTCTTCTTCTTGTTCACTGGCTGGGAATTCCGGCGGTAAGTCCCGGTTGTTCGTCCGATTGGACTTTTAGCTTTTACCTTGACCTGAGTTTTGCGTGTATATCCATTTTACTGGCTTGTTTTTCGTTGTCGTTCCATGCCTCTCCGTCAGATGTACTCCGACTTCGAGGGAATCTGAACTATTTGATTCTTTGATGTTCTGTGAAATAATTTACCGGTACTGTGACTGCTATTATTCTTAGTTCTTCATTGGTGACTCTGCCTCGTCTTGTTTTCTTGGACATATCATCTCACCTGTTTTAATCTGACGTTTATGTTTTTCTAGGACTGGCCATGTCTGGCACTGATAGCACAAAGTTGGTACAAATAGCCCATTTAGTAGATGCATTTTGTGTGTGCACAGCTTATAACAAAATGAGACTAATTACACATTACAAAAAAGCTTAATGTGTAGAATATGGATTCCTTATTTTCCTTGCACAGCAGCACAACATTAGTTTAACAAAACATAAACAAAAAAAACCACCCACATCCATAGGGAGTCATCGTGGCGTTGGCAGCTAAACTTCCGCCTGCAGAACAGAAGGTCGCTTTAAAATAAAAAATGACATTGACTCCCAGGTTGACCCAGCCTTGAGTGGGTACCAGGTGCAGTCCTGGGCAGTAAAGGCGGCCAGCGTGACCCAATACGACTAAAGGCATGGAAAAGAGACTTTTACTTAACTTTACTTTACCCAAATTGTAAGTTGCCACGGACATGATCTCAAAGTTTTCACTTGAACTTGCTTGCATGTGCAATGCCATAGGTTCTTCATGCTGTTAGGCCTCTGCATTGCTATAGCAAGTCTTTTTTTGAATTCTTTTATGCAGTCGCCATTGTTGTTCATTACTGAGCCTAAATATCTGTGACATTTCCAATCTCTTTGTTTCTGATTTCCCTTTGTGGTTGGTGGGCTATATATTCATTTTGTACATTTTTTTGGTGGTTTTTCCCCCCAGATCAGGATTCATTTAGTACTGTTGTTTACTAAGCCTGTAAAGTTGTGTACTAAGCCTGTAAAGTTGTGAAATAAGCCTGTAAAGTTGGGTTCTAGGCCTGTAAAGTTGTGTACTAAGCCTGTAAAGTTGTGTACTAAGCCTGTAAAGTTGTGTACTAAACCTGTAAAGTTGTGTTCTAAGCCTGTAAAGTTGTGTCCTAAGCCTGTAAAGTTGTGTACTAAGCCTGTTGTGTACTAAGCCTGTGATGTTGTGTACTAAGCCTGTAAAGTTGTGTACTAAGCCTGTAAAGCTGTTCAAACTCTGCACTGCCATGGCATCTTCTGGTTTTCGATACAAAACAACCAAGGGGATCTCATACTAATTAACACCTAATGCAGGGAAGCTAACAAAGTACTGGGTTAATTCCCCTCCGCCTTTCTTAAATTTTTTTTAACAACATAAGACAGTCCCAATCAGCCCCAAAAATGACCTCATAAATGGCAAACTCATGCCCACCCTTTGTTACTAGTGCTCACTCATTTCTTCACACTTAGTTAAACTCATTTACATACTTAGAGAGAAATCCTTGCAATACCATACAATACAAGGCATACATCATAAGAGGAGAGGGATGTGCAGCATGAGGTAGACCAAGAACACGATGGAAAAATAACATGGCTAAGATTGCCAGAAGAACAAGAAGCAGAACCTAATATCTCCTCTGACACCTAAAGCAGAAAAAGAGAGGTGAAGAAGAAGTAGAATGCATGTATATCGGTTGGCCCTTAAATATCCTTCTCATTACTGATATCCCCCCACACGCACACACAAATTATGAATCTTACCTGCGAACACCCTGACAGTAATGTGAATGTACAAGGAACAATGGACGTAAGGCTCGAGTGACTCTAAAATGGTTTGTCTGCCTTATTAACACAACAATGGACTCTATTAACATCAGAATGATCGCAACCGCCTGTTACCGAGGAGGAAAAAACCATTAGTTAAAAATGTTATAAAGTTACTGCCTGTGAAACTATTGATGTTTAATGGATGACAAGAAAATAGATGGATTGATTAAAAATACATATTCAAAAGACTAGAATATTTCAGGGCTTTTATTTAAAGTAATTCCCTTTTGTCTTTAAACAGCAAGTAAAGAGAGAAAGAGGGAGTGACACAGAGAGAGAGACACACACACACACAGAGAGAGACAGAGAGACAGAGAGAGAGAGAGAGCATCTAAAGATGCCACATGTGTATATCCATACAATATTTCTTTTATAATCACAGTTTCAAGTTAAAGGCTGAGAGGATTAACTTCACTGCAATGAGTTTTATCCCATATGGCTCGGTCTCTCTCTCAATGGCTAGCTGCCTGTAGTTCCAGCAGCAATCTCCAGTAATCTCTGTAAAAGTTGCACTTGTGAACTGAACGATGCAGCTGTGAATCGAAACCATGACATTCAGAGCATAATCAAACAGCTCGACCACTTTGCTGTGGAGACCTCCCCTGGTTACCTGACAGTTTAAAATCTTGGCAATCATTCTGGTTGAGAAATCCAATGAACATTACTGTAAGACTTAGTATCTCAGAAAAAAAAAAAAAACTGCCCCAGCCACATATGTCAGATGTTTTACCTCAAAAAGGCAGCAGATGTTATGAAAATTCTAACTAAACAGCACTGCATTTAATGCTACCGACATTTGCATTTGTTTCTGTCTTAGTAGTTACCCAGTCCACAATACACTTCTCCCATTTGTTTGGTCCACATGTGTGAATAAAGTTGAAAAGCACTGATCTTGAACATGTGTGGAGAAGGTTGAGAAGCACTGATCTAGAACATGTGTGAAGAAGGTTGAGATGCACCGATCTAGAACATGTGTGAAGAAGGTTGAGAAGCACTGATCTAGAACATGTGTGAAGAAGGTTGAGAAACACAGATCTAGAACATGTGTGAAGAAGGTTGAGAAGCACATCTACAAGATGTGTGAAGAAGGCTGAAAAACACTGATCTAGAACATCTGTAAAAAAGGTATAAGAGCATTGATCTAGAACATGTGTGAAGAAGGTTGAAGAGCATTGATCTAGAAGTTTGGAAAAGGTTGAAAAACACTGATCTAGAACATGTGTAAAGAAGGTTGAAAAACACTGATCTAGAACAGTTTGGAAAAAGGTTGAAAAACACTGATCTAGAACAGTTCGGAAAAGGTTGAAAAACACTGATCTAGAACATGTGTAAAGAAGGTTGAAAAACACTGATCTAGAACAAGTGTGAAGAAGGTTAAAGAGCTTTAATCTAGATCGTGTGTGAGAAGGGCCGAAGAGCACTGTTCTAGAACAGAGTAAAGGTTGAAAAGCATTGATCAAGAACAGTTTTTTTTAACCTGTGGGCGGCATCCCACTGATGGGCTATGAAAAAGCCCAGAGGCTGCCAGAAAGTTTTCCCTACTTTTGTAATGAGATATGGTAGATAGTTTCTTCCATGATTGTCTTCTACAGTATTAACACCCCAGGAAGATAATCAAACAAGTAAAAATCCATGTAACTGTTGAACTGAAAACGAATTATGCTACCCAATGGTAAAGTAACTTGAAGTCCAGTCTGGACTGGGTATAAGGATTATAACAAATGTAGCGGCTCTATGATTTCGGCCCTAATTGCTGCAAATTGAGTGTGGTTGTGGTCTTCTTCAATTCTGTTTCTTTGTTTTGTTAGCTGTCAGGTGGGCTGCACAACACTTTCTCCTGTCTGGTGGGCCATGGTTGTAAAAAGGTTGAGGAATACTCATCTAGATTTTGCAAAGGGCTTCACACTTCAATAGCCACACATGGCCATAGCCACTGAGTTAACCGTATGTGTTGATTCCTCCCCACCAAATATATGGTTGACACATTCCGTTTCTGGGGACAGCTTTTATCGAGTTTGCTCTCTAGACAGTTGCAGTCCTCTGACGAGATTCTGTCTTTCCGAGTAGGCCGCCGCAATCAAAACATTGTGAAGGCAGCGTGGTCATTATCCCGCCCCAACATAGCACAACAGGCTGCTACCACAAAAAACACATAGTATCCTGCGCATTAAACAGCAGTCCATGATTAGGAAACAGAACAATCTGAGAGGATTGACAGCCAGCAAAAACAAACTTTGCTGCTAACCACCATTTTGAAAACGGAAGTCCCAATAGCTGTACATGAAATCGGTTATTAAATTCATAAACATGTTTATAATTCACAACTAACTGAGATTGGCATCTTTCCATCTTTTCAGATGACAGTGTTATAGTGCGCTATGAGGAGGCATGGGACTTACACATAGTGGTACTGATGAGTGTGACCAGCAAGACCCGCCAGTGTTAGGAAAAGTCTTCCACAATGACAGCATGGGATTTCAGGATCGGGATTGTCAACATATGTGTTTAGTGCATTTCTTCTCGGACGCTCAGCTCTAATCCTTTCTGCAATCACTTCTTCCTTCATTCTCATTTCCTTCCCGATGTGCCCCCTCCACACAACATGGTCCATGGCATTTTGTTCCCATGAGTCTACCTCAATACCTGTTTCATTCATGTACTGCCTGCACATATCTTTATATTGTAGTAGAGGTCGGCCTCAACATCTTCTACCCATCATTGTTTCATCATAATTCATAACAATATCACATAAATAATCATCTCACAAATCACCTTTAGAAGAGTTCTCTTATGCTTTAGGAAGCTCTTCCACCCCAACCACTTGACCCGAATGCCCAAATCTAGGCTCAGTATAAGAAGGCACAGCATCTCTACTGACCCATGAACCTAAAACAGAAATATAAAAACAATGGACATTTACAATACTATTCTTCTTCAGCCTTTCATAACAAATTCTGCTTCTGTTTTATTCTAGAAAAGCAAATCTTCCTCCTGGTCAGCTGATTATTTCTTATTTCTATTTATTCATTTTTGTTTCAACCACAATAGTTCATTGGTTAGACACTTGTATCAGGAGTTATGAGATAAGAACTGACATCATAGCACTTAGGACACTCCCATAAATGCTCAGTCCCCATCTTCAGTAGCAAGCACAGAGTTCCAGTTCTGACAGTACCAGTAACAGTCTGAATGTATGTCCATCTCGCAACTCTCCTGAGTGCTGAGAGTTGGCTCCCTGCTGTTATCATTCTCACTAGACCTTGATCTGTTTGCACCTTCACACAGGTTACTTCCTCACAAAGGGTCCTTACAACTTCTAGGCGCCCGGTAGTGGGAGGCCTGCAGTTCCAGACGGTCTGCCATACATAGAATTTGTTTTTTTCATCCCTATTTTCATGTAGACTGTTACATTTGATCTGGGAGCATGGATCACATATCTGGCAAAGTGTTTAGGGGGAGCAGAGGCCGACCAACACAAAGATGGATACAGGATAAAAGTGACTCCTTGAGTATGAAAGTACATGGGGTGAAGGAGCGAGTTTCTTTCAAGCAGACCATGTTGAGAGCGACGTTCTGCACATGACCTGCTACATGATGATGATGATGACACATTTGCCAGAAATTCTCTAGGTGACTATCCTACGACTACTGGGTTCCCCACCAGGAGAGTGGTTAGAAAGCACAGGTACACTTAGTGCTACCAAAGCTCTCATAACAGTGTCAACAACTATACACTAGAAGTCCTCTTTTGCTGCTACGTTACCTGCGATTGCTGTCTGCCCTGTGCTAAGCAATGTGGAAAAAAAAAGTCGCTGGTGTGCGCAATACTTTTCTATCCCCCAAACGCAAAAGATGCGTCGGCGGTGAGGGCTATATTTTGTACACCTAAAAATTTTTACCCTAGGAAGTTGTATGGTTGGCCCGAGATGTGACAAGTCAGAGGCACAGTGGTGCCCCACAAGCTTGGCCGATGAAGCTACCACCCCGGGGGTGGGGGGAAATAGGAAGAATTGTTCCCAGTCCCTATCCCAAAATTTGATTGATGAACCTACCACGGCTCAAACTTTAATCACAGTTAATTGTAATCACCATTAAAACAAAATAATAATACCTTAGTCATCCGTTGCTGAAAAGTAGCAAGAACTGAAAGGAAAATTTACACCCCAAAAAAAAAAAAAATAAAGCTGGGGGTTAAACACATGATTTTCCGATTGTAAGGCAGACGGGATACCAACTACACTAGACTATTTAGGAAAGCAGCCACCAAAAATAAGACTAGTATTATAGTATTGATAAACTGACACGTGCATCGTCTGTTGTTTAGTATCAATCAATCCTCATCGTGCCCAGAGTCACATACAGCAGAGTTTTATAATATAATAACAGTAATAATTTTAAATAACCTCCCCTTTACAAAAAAGGAATCACTAGAAACTTACAAATCAAACACAAAGAACTACAGTAACCAATTATATAGTTTTTGTAGTGTGAACTTCACTATCTTTTGTAATTCCCTCAGCAACCTGTAAAGTTTGACTCGCACACAAGTCAATGAATATCTGTAGTTTATTATTAACCACTGTAGTTAGTCTCCTTGTTTCATCAGTAGTCATTTGTAAGTAAGTAAATAAAGGACCCTTTTTATGTCAGTGGTGCTTTGGTCACATGATGCTTGACTCATTTTGTAAAGACCATTCAGCACTCATTAGGTATTGTGGTCAACATCACGCTAGCTGCCTTTATTTCCCAGGTCATTACCTGCTACCCTTTTAGGCTAGGGTGACCAAAAAGTAGAGATTAGATATTAGAATTGAAGTTCTAAATTTGGAAGCAGGTTTAATTACTTTTGATTTCCACAGATATCCAAGTGTTAAGAAAGCTGGTTTGCTTAATGGCAAAAATTAAAGCTGACAGTAAAGGACCCTTTTCCACACATTCAGGCAAACTAGGCATATAGGGCTAGACCTATATTTTAAAGACCAATCACCAATTGGTGGGTTATATGGTCAGCTTTACATTAACCACCTTTACTTCCCAGGACAGTACTTGTCACCCATTTAAGGTTGAGTAGACCTAAGAGTCATGGTGTTTTTGATCAGTGGCATTATGAGATCTAATAGACTGAAATGTCTAGGGCATATTGAGAGAATGTCATATGACAGAGAGGTAAAAACTGTATACACAAGAGAACTGAATGGTCGTAGACCACGAGGCAGACCAAGAAGATGATGGAGAGATAATGTCCAGACAGACCTGCAAACACTTGGTGTTACCAAACTGGAAAGAGAAGGCCAACTAGAAAGATGAATGGAGGCGGGTGATATTTGCAGCAATGAACCTCAAGGCTCGCAACACTGAAGAAGAAGAATTAGAATTTCTGTAAACACACTGTCTATTTATTTACTAATATTTAACTACTAACACAATTATTTGTTGTAGCAGTATTCTATTATTAATCTGCAACAATCCCTCGCCACTCTTATGTATAATATGTGTATGTGGCATGACAGCTGAATTCGTATAGGATGTTTTAATGTGTGTCACCACCCCTTGGGCCTCTGATAATAAACCCCCTGGAAGTCAAAAAGTTAATGCATCTGGCAAATGATTTTATGTGTGGAACCACCTTACAGATAACACAAGATAGGTATCAAAACAGTACTGACCCCAACTGGCATCTCTAATGAGGCCACAGCAGGTCTCTCACAGGCAGCCAACAACATCACACAAATTGCAGCAAACAAATCTAACAAGTAGAACCAGCGATTGTGAGCGACCTGATAGGCTGGCAGGGCCTCATGGCTTTGTGGGTGGGTGTAGAATTTGTCATTGTTTTGTCCTTCCTATAAAAACAGTTAAAAAAAGAAAGCAACAATAAAATGTTCTTAACTTTTACTTATACTCATCATCCACACAAAAAATGGTTAAAATGGACGCTAGACAGCGGCGCCGTTCGGAACAGAGGCAAATTTTTTGCTTCTGCCGGACGGTTGCCGATAGGACACTGAAGAAGGAGAATTTTTTTGCTCCATTTGTAGACTGAATATAGTTTCGTCGCCCAGCTTCTGAGTTGAATGCATGGCGTGACCCTGTGAGCTGCGGATTGCATTTGGAATGTTTTTTTTCGACTGTGACCAACGTGGTGGTGTGAATTGTAGATTCAGAAAATGGCGCGATGCCTGTCGTTCAATATTCAATGCTTGCGGGACCCGTATTAAAATTGATCACGCGGACAACTGCTGATCTGTTGACGACAAGTCTTGCTATCATCAATGATGAACTGCATTTCTAATGTCGGACTGTTTGTGTTAGCACTTCGGATGGCTACCATATGCTTTAATGCGAGTGTATGCTAGATATGCTGAGACAGCAGTCTGTCAATCTTTCCACAAGGGACTGTGATAGACATTCTGAGTGTTTTTCGCTGGCACAGGAGCGGAGCAAAGATGGGGCAACCCGTTTGCTATGAAGCTGAAACTAAGACTACCAGACTACCAGACACAAAAATATTGCTATATCCATCACTAGAATTACTGTACTGATCATATTTACGCATTACTATACTTTTCGCAGAAAAATATTACTGTACACATGACACAAATATATTTACTCTACCCTTTACAAAAACATATTGCTATTTTCATCTCACAAATATACTTTACTCTTTGCATACATATCAACTCTACTCTTGGAAACAAGCAGTGGAATCAGTAGAGAAACAAGATTAGTATGGCCTGGAGAGAATGAGGCACCCGAGTGTAACCAGAGGATCTGGCCGGCTCACTACGCTCAGAAGAAAGGCAAGACGGACATATAACCAGTATTGAAACTATGCACTGACTGCTGAAGATGAGTACGCATGGGAATGCCCCGAGTGCTGTGATGTCAATTCTTGACTCAACTCAACTCAACACTCTACTCATCACTTGTGTACTATGTTCAGACCTCCACAAAGGTTGTTACACAAGAGACTGAAGATGTAATGGCTATGAAAGCACATAGGGTTGGAGAACTGGCTAAAGAGATTAAGACCTTCAGGTTTGCTGTGACACGTGCAATGTTCTGTAAAGGATCTGCTAATGATGATTTAAATAAATAGTGAGCCATATCCACAATCAAAGTTGTCCAGTGTACCTCCCATTGTCTTAAGGAATATTATGTGGGTGGCCTCAATTTATTCCATGGCGTGACTCTTGTCCCAACATCAGAAAACCATAAGATCTGTTTGTCATTTGCCAAAAAAAACAAAAACCCCCCCAAAAAAACACACACACACACAAACTAGTACTCGTGGACCATGAAATTGTACAATTCATTACGTAACTTGTACACCCCAGAGAAGCACCATCAAATTATTGTATTTGTTTATGTTTACGACGACCATATTTTTTAGCCCAAAATTAGGAAATGAATATTTTAAGCACATTCTGTGTAGGAGAAACCCCTAGTATATCTGGAGAAAAAATGGCGCTTTTAAATCTGTCACTGAGTGCAAATGTGAGTGAGACAAGAAGACATCTAGCGATGTTACTCTTACCTGTAAATATATGGCTGCTTCTTGGTAGTTGAGCTTCCACTGTTTCCTTCGGTTGTGTTCCCTGAGTTGCCTGCTGAAACATCCCTGAGGGTCTGGGATGTCTTGACCCATGTTGCCCACTTCATTTGCGATGTCCAGGTCAGGGTCATCTACAATCAAAAGTTAATATTACATAAATGAATCATTTAGTAACAGCTGGATTTTTAAAAGATGATTTTAGTAAGCATAAAAATAAATTCTTGAAGAAATAAGACTGGAAAAAAATTACATTTTGGTATACATGTCTAGTATGAGAATGGAGGTGGAGGCAGTCACATTCAGAATCAGCTGTACATACATGATGTCATTGTAACTGACTCACAGAGCATGCTGAGAAAGGTGGAGACAGGCATGCTTCGTGCAGAGTGGCAAGCATCACTTCAGAGGTGCCAGGTTGTTTGCATCCTTTGGATATTTTCTCCAGGTCATGCCGGTCTGTTAGGAATTGAGCAGGCAGAAAGACAGGCCGGTTCTGCACCACTTGGTGGTGAAGTGATGTATGACAAGCTAGATGTTGTGACGTCCCTTTGGGAGCGATTAAACAGTGCCAATGAACAGTTAAATTATTATGGTCTGAGGAGAATGGCACTGCGAGGAGTTACCTGGGAATCTGGCCGACGCTCGACACTCAATGGAAAGGTTAGATGCATATACAGTCAGACAGTTATTGATGCCATCGGAATTTTAACTCTTCACTTGCTGCTGAAAATGGGAATGGAGCACTTATGGGAGTGTCCTAAGTGCTGTGATGTCTATTCTTAATTCAACATTCATCAAAGTTCATTTTAGGGTTTCTGTTGGGTGTCCTTATTTCCTCAATCTCTTTATCTCTCATTTCAGTGCCTGTCTGGTGATTCTCTGCTTGTTTCTTCTCAAGATGTATCATCCTCCCTCTTCCACACCTTTAGGGGTATTGGAAATATAGGGCTAGACCGAAATGTTAAAGACCAATCAGCACTTGGTGGGTGATGTGGTCAGCTTCACGCCAGCCACTTTTACTTTACAGGAAGCCAGGTCATTTTTATTTGTTTTGGAAAAAAGTCAAGCTCCATCAGGACTCGACTTCATGACCTTCTGATTCGCAGGCAAGCATCTTAGCCATACTAAGTTTGTGAAAGGGTGAATGTGATTTGGAAAAAGGTGAATTTGCAATGTTCAATGTTGAATTAGGAATCGACATCACAGCACTCGGGACACTCCCACAAATGCTCAGTCCCCATCTTTAGCAGCAAGCAAAGAGTTCCAATTCCGATAGGGTGAATTTAGCCTGCCATTCCTGTAAAAGGGTATATCTCAGGACTGGAGCCTGTTTTACTATTAGGTATGTGCACATGGTAGAGAAGTCTCCAGATATAGAGGTTACTTGCAAAAAAATAAAAAAAAATAAAAAGTTTTGTGTTTCAAGACATCAGCATCATGTACCCTCCCGACAAATAAAGGCAGTCATGTTTTGCCATCTCACAAGTTCACTAGAATCATGGATCAGCTCAGTGTTCATTTCACCATTCATTTCATATGGCCAAGCCATTCAGGTACTTTTCTCTCTGCCTTCTCTTCACTCTCTCTCTCCATTGATACTTTGAGATTTAGAGGTTAGTTGTGAAAACACAAAAAGCACTGTGTTTCAAGAGTGTACATCTCCGGTATATTATGACCCAAACGTCCAAACTGAAAGAATAAGAGGAAGACAAAGTTACAGACACCTAGACTGCTTAATAAATGGGATAAGAACACAGACTTCTCCTATGTGGGTTCCGCAGAACAGTTGTGGGGGAGGGGGAGGGGAATAGTAGACCCATCAGACCCATTTCCTCCCCCCCCCCCTTCGCCTCTTCCCTTTCCAACAAGCATGTGACTAGTTAGGGGTATTTTCCTCAAAGTCGGAGTGCAACTGCCCGAGAGGCAACGAAACAACAGTCTGCATACAAATAATCCAGAACTGTAAAACGGATGTACAGACAAAACTCAAGTTCTGGAACAAGACCAAAGTCCAGATGTGGACAAATAGCCAGAACCTTCCGCTGCAGCTTATAGTTAATTCATGCTCAGAAGAAAGAGAAGTACAGACTTAATCTGATGATGGCGACTGTATGAAATGGGAAACCATGCTGCCTCTGCTTACTGACATACCACATAATGATGATGATGACATAATTAAAGTAAGTAAAGTAAAGATCCCCTTTCACACTTTTAGGCACATAGGTCATATGGGAAGAGCCCCAATATTTTTACAGACCAATCGGCACTAGGTGGGTAATGTGGTCAGCATTACGCCGGCCGTCTTTACTTCCCCTGGACATACATCCTGGTACCCATTTTAGGCTGGGTCAACCTGAGATGCCCCATACCGTGACAAAAATCTAAGCAGTCAGCAGTGGGTTTCGCTTGTGATGATGACATTAATAATGTTTTGAAAACATGAAAAAAGATATACATAGGAAAAAATAAACAAACACACCATAAAATGCCTTCAGCTCCAACATTTCAGACAATGAAATAGACAGTATTTCCCAATACACCAGTCATCTCATGCACAGGTTAATTTTCAGTGTAATCTAATCTGTACCCCCAATATATAAAATGTTCAAGTGTTCATTATGAAGATTCACTTTTGAAGATTCATTTTAATTACTAAAGTCTAGTGAAATCCAAGAAAATGGTGGCACTATTTTAAAGTAACGCCAAATTTTATTATTTTACCAAAGTAAATTTTAAAACTATTAATTTTGTCACACTGAGAGATGAGTTAAAACATAACAAATCAAATGTCACAATGAAGTTCAGCTCTTGCAATGAATTTCAAAACTCCTTGACGACCCTCTTGAAACCTCCTCACACAACCCCGAAGCGGGGGAGTATGCCCTCCAGGTCAGAGACCACTGACGTAGAGTATAAGGTGAACTAACAACAAGATGGCAAGACCTTGTCAAAAGAAACTTCTACAACAGCCCATTGTGCCTATGACTGAGGTGTGAGCAGAAGAGCTAGAAGCAGAACCTTAGATCATCCCTCAAACCTGAAGCAGTCAAAAACAAAAGAGGAGCTGAACAGTTTGATATTATGATAGGGAAGGGTACTAATATCATCTATGACTGACAGTACATGAGACAGAAGGCTGTGGTCAGACATGATTACCAATGCCTCATGGCACGGACTAAAATTGTTTCCCATTTGGTGGCAAACAGAACAAATTCACGGGGTTTGTAATATCATTTTTCTCTAAAAAATACAGAATAGGTCATTTTTCATGAAAACAAAAACAATAAAATACAGACATTCTGAGAGACTGCAAATTAAAAGAGTTACTAATAGAAATAAAAAAAGAGATAACACTCTTTTAAATACCATACTGAGAGAAGGGGCGAGGGCAAGAAAGCAAAAGGTAGACAATGATACAAGTGGGAGGACAACATCAAGAGATAGACGAACTGCAGTCTGAGACAGTGTAAAATCCAGAAAAGAGACAGAGCATGTTGGAGATCCATTGAGCCAACATTCACTGTGGAGATGGCACCTGATTGATTGATTGAATATCATTTACAAAAATTCCCTCAACTTTAGAATGTCTTTTGTTTTTGTTTTTGCAAATCTAATATATAAATAATAATATGGTTTTTAGTATGGCTATTAAAAAGTAAGGGGTCCGTGGAAGACCTTCAAAACCAAGGGGTCACTAGGTCTGAACTAATTGGAAACTACAGGACTATAAGAAGACCACAGCAAAACCAACAAGATAGCAAGTCATTCTGTAAGCTATCAATGCAGAATAGAACAATGAAACAAATGAACACTGGCTGGTGATTAAGAGGAAAGGAATGAGAAGGGTATCAGATAAATGTATCAGGTTTGCAGTCTCATGATGTGTTAATATGTAACATCTGGTTTAAGCATTTTGCTTGGCTATTATGGATTGCCAAAGTCATGGAAATAATATCTGCAATAAAACTTACTACAAATTGATTAAAAAAAACGTTTAAAAGCAGTTTAACAGGAACAAAACACCAGACCAGGAGCCAACCATTTGGTGATCATTAACTAAACATTTTCCACACCTTTAGGCTATTTTTAATAGACTAATGGGCACACACACATGGTGGGTGATGTAGTCAGCATTATACCGGCCACCTTTACTTCCCGAGACTGCATCCGGTACCCACTAAAGGCTGGGTCGACCTGGGAGTCGAGGTCATTTTTGAAAAAAAAAAAGTCCAGCTCCACATGGGAGCGAACCCACAACTTCGGATCCCCAAGTGAGCTTCTAGCCGTTACGCCACGGCGATTCCCATATAGTGATAATTTAACAGTTATATTAAGGGAAAGATAACAGTAAAACTGAGACTATAAAGAAAACCTCAGAAAACATCAAGTTAGATCTAGCACTAACTGACCAACAAAATTAGGCAAAGAAAGCAATATTGCTACAGAACAATGGGTCATATCTGATGGAAACATCAATAACTAATTACAGAGATTCTGGATAGACAGAAAAAAAAAAAAAAAAAAGATGGTTCATGAAAGAGACAAGAGAAATAGTTTGCCACATTATTTGACAGACAGAGAGAAAGAGAGTGTGTGTGAGAGAGAGAGAGACAGAGTCAGAGGGAAAGAGTGATGGATCAGCACATGCAAAGCAGGGTGCAACTTTTTTAATTACAGAGCTGTCAACATTTACAGGCCCTAATTATATGTGCATTCAATAAAGAAGGCTAAACAATAATGTCCATTCTGCCTGTCATAACAATTGCTCTACAAGTGATGTTGAAAAGCATTCATTCGTGAAATACATGCAAACATCAATAACAGTTGAGAAATAAACCTGGTCAAAAGAAGTTGGCATGATGACAGCTTAACCCTTTCAGCCCCAAACAATGTGTCATGTGTTTTGGCTTTCCCCATCAAGTGATAACCAATGTATATATATATATAGTTAGTTAGTTATTCCTCTTGTGACAAAGATGGCGCATAGGGCAGAGGTCATAGCTTTCCACGTCTGTCGGTTCTTTGCCACTTGATGTAGGTCTTGAGTGCGACTGAGACCTATGGTTGAGCTCTCCCTTATGATGGTTCTACGG